GGACTGTTCGAAACGATATTGTTATGAAGTTAGTAAAACCACGTCGTAGAGGAGGACCCATCGGTAGTAGTGTTATGCTGTTACTCCATTTGAAACTTATTCATGATAAGCATAATAAACATTCCAACTTTGTGTACCAACTGATATAGTTTAACAGATTTTTTAATGGAGATATTTAAGTAAAATTTTTAATTTGTTACTCACAAAGTGCAAACATATTCTTGCTAACAAAATCTTATTTTGGTAGGTTTTTTACTTTTGGAATTTTCGTAACACTTTTATTTGAAACAAATTTTAAAAATTAAATAAATTTTTGGAAGGTATGTTGAAAATCTGAATAGATATCAAGGTGATGTGTCAAAAAATTTCGGTGAATCTAAATTTTATCTAACAAGGAATTTCCTTTGAAATGTCTTTTACTAATTAACGATTTATTATTCCAATGTGTATTTAATTTTTAAATGTTAGTTTTTTCAATTGAAAAATCCAAAAAAACTTATTGCGTTGTAAAAAAAACTGCCTCTTTTTTTAATTTTATTAATAAATGAAACAAATGCCGAGATCAAGTTTTTAAAATTGTCGTCTTAACGTTTTATCTGTTGAGATCCTCTTGCATTTGTCTCTTCTTTCTTTGTTATCTAAGATCTAATATTTTAGTTTCAGTGATAAAAAGTTATAAATTAGTGATATATTTAAAATTATTCAACTAAGTATTCCTTAAAATTACTCAACATTTTTATTTAATGCGACAAATGCAGAACTTCTTCCAAATCATTTCTTTTCACCTAGTGGCATTTCTCTTTCCTTTTCAAACACAGCACGCATAGCATATATGAACGTGATTTAGCATGAATGAATAAATTAATAATATATTAATTATAATAATTATATAATAATTCTAATAAATTATAAGAAATAGAAAATAGAATATTAGATATAATATTCTAACATCAAATACTAATATTCTATTTTCTATTTCTTATAATTAATATTATTAACTCCTCATTTGGTTTTACAATCTAGGCTCCGACAATGGCATTAGCCGAAACGGCCGTCAGCCAAACTTCACAGTTTAATAAAGTTGAAACAAAACAGCTTCGTGTTGTTGAAATTTTTTTTAAAAAACTTCTAACTGCAAAATGGGGTGTAATCTTCAACCGTACATATATATATATATATATATATATATATATATATATATATATATATATATATATATATATTGGTTTTAGACTATCATAAATACAATTATTTATAAAGATCACTGCGTTTTCGGCATTCTCTAAAATCATATTGAGAATAGAGTTAACGTCACTTTCATCAGTGACGACGCATTTAGTCCATGTCCTTGAGTCCTTGATAGAAAACGCAGTGATCTTTATAAATAATTGTATTATTATTATTATTAGGTAGGATTATAAAGCGCCCTTTCACCAAATCTTAAAGGCGCTGAAACAGATAACAAGGAAACAACAATCAAAGCGCTCATTGCGCAAACAAAAACGCTTATAATCTCCTCCTGAAGGATAAAATTGAATGCCCCGAAGCACGTAGTTCCAAAGGCAGGCTATTCCATACATATGGCCCAACAACTGAAAAATTTCTTGAACCTGCAACAAGTTTTGTTGGAGCCACAAAAAGTAAATCACGATTATTAGATCGTAATTTTTAGGAATGCCCTGAAACAAGACGTGCAGTGCACCTATCAATTAGATAGCCAGGTGCAATACTGTCAGGGTTTTAGCTGCGACCAGGAAAATTAACATGCAAAGAATATGAATACATTATGATAGCAGTGATAAACGAATGGCTATGAAGCACGCAAAAATAGCAACCAATCCGCGGTGTGCACAGAATTGTTTAAACAAACAAACCCGAAAAGTTTGAAAGGAGCGATAATTTTGTTGGTGTTGGTGGAAGCTGGTCGGTCGTAGTTAGCGGTAGTTAAAATTCTCGAGGTTACGTCGGTGGTTGGTACGATTGGTAGAAGCAGTTACGTCGGTGGTTGGTGCAGTTGGTGGAAGCAGTTTCGTTGGTGGTTGGTATAGTTGGTAAAAGCGGTTACGTTGGTGGTTAATAAATTCCACAGTAGTCAGGGCAAACTCTGATACCAAAACGATACGTCAATTCAGCAAACGTGATTTGACAACGCGTTCAACAACCTACCCGTCACTTCAACAGACGTGAAGGGACACTACACTCAACAGACGACGTGTCAATTCAGCAAACGTGAAGTGACACTACGTTCAACAAACGACACGGCATTTCAGCAGCGGTGAAGTGACAACACCCATTATACCGAACTTTGCCAGAACCACTGTGTTTGGAACCTTGTCTTCCCACCAGATACCTGCAATATCAAGATTTTATTGAATTTCAGTTCGCTTGAATATTAATTAATGCAAATAATTCAAATTTTAGCTAGCAGTTCACGATTATATTCTGCAAAATTTTTTCTATGCTGCTCAACTACTTGAAGCAAAAATTGTTTCTGCTCTGCGTCTTTGGTGATTGTTTCATTGAAATGTTGTACCAACGCTACTCCCCGTTCTGCAGAGTTATTGGTGCAAACCAGATTCCTTACAAACACTGCTGCAACTTGGAAAGAAGGAGTATCTGACCAGTTTTCAACAGGTACATCAAGAAAACTGGCATCAATATTGGATGTTTCAAAAAATGTTTTAGACGCACGCAAATTGTCAAAACTTTGTGGTAGTGTTTTCATCAGATGTGGGCCTCAATCTGCTTGTATTGTGTGGACAAGATCGGTCTTTTCTTTGTCAGACAGGAGAGATGAAAAAAGAGCAAGAGTTGCCGATTCTGGACTCATGTACCAAGAATGATGCAGCATCATTTTTAATCCAGTCGAACCAAGAACTGCATCGTCGTAGTCATGCAAACGCTGTATCAACAAAATATCATTCACAGGTGCATCAGCAGTGAGCCTCCATGAAAACAATGACTGAAGATAAATACAAATGATAAACCGATTTAAACGTTGAATACCTTGTAATTCTCGAGCTGTTAAGTTAAAAATGGTTTTATTTACGGTGAATAATAGTTTAATTTTTAATGCGTAGATGGCTTTTACCATCCATCGTTCCCTGTGCAGTGAACCAGGTTTGCGAATGGCTACATCAACCTGCAGCCCAACTATTTGTGCAGCAAGAAGTAGAAACTCTAAATAGTCATCTCGTGAATGTCTTACCTTAAGTTGACATTTGATGTATGCTTTAATTGCATCTGAAACAATTATCAAAGGGGTTGATTTGACTTCTGGTGTGTGATTCATTTCTGTTAATTTTTCACGAAACCTTTTGAAAAATAAAATTTCTGGTCCAGTGGATGGTCCAAGACAAACACTGAATACATCGGCAAGCAGCACTTCAAACTTGTGATGACGGCAAGCCATCCATAATAAATTACGTCCCATGGCTTTTTCTAGAAGAGTGCAAGCTTCATTGAGTTTTCCAGTATTGGAAGCTGTCGTGTCAAAGCACAAGCCAATAACCATTGATTCACACTTCCAAGATTTTATATGTTCATGAACTGCATCAGCAGCTAGCTACTCGTCCTAGTCCAGATGCTAACTTTGGAACTCCAAGAAGTTTTGTAGTGCAATCGACAAGTGATAAGAGCAGGACAGGTAACCGATCTACGTAGACCACACCAGTAACATAGCGAGTTGACTGGTTAAAAATATACATTTTTTGCATTCTCTAATAAAGATTATCATTCTATAGGTAATTGTTAATAATATTTTAAACTCTAATTAATGTCAGCAGTGAGATAATAAAACTAGTTTGCATTTCTAGCTTTGTTTCACTCATTTTGTGCATATTGTTTAAGATTATTGATATGGATTTTGAATTAACTCGATAGTAAAATTTTAAAAGCCCTTGGGGGACCTCTCAAACTCATTCAAATGAGCTGTAACTTCACCAATTAAATTATTTTATCCAAGAGACACTTTTCAGGAGGTGAGACATCAACTATTTAAGAAAACAAATTTCCGTGCATTTCTGGGACACCCTAATATATATATATATATATATATATATATATATATATATATATATATATATATATATATATACATACATACATATAGATATTATATCGTGCGTTTCAACATCTGTTGGACGTGTCTCGAAATTGGCTCGTTAAATGTTGTTTTTTGTCACTTTTAAATTGATTTAAAGTCTACTTCTTGATTAAACTGAAAGATAAAATGCTGCGTAACTAGCTTTTGTTTCGAAGTTACGTTTTTCGTTAATAAATTGGTTAAATTTGTTTGTTGGAATAGTTAATTGAATTTAATTATTCAAATTAAATTATGCTAATGAGGAACAACAGCAATGGCTGAGCTCTTTAGAATAAACAATAACATTTTTACTCCGTCGAGATTGATTAGAAAAAGTTTACTCAAATTATAAATTTGGAAACCTAAGTGTGAAAGGAATAAGTCGTAGAAATTACTCACTGAGCGTCAGTTTGGTTCAAAAAGTATAAGTATTGGCGAGTCCAATGTTAACTGTATTACTAATAAGTTTATTGATGTGAAGGAAACGGTTAAAGACAAAAAACTTGATGTTTTAGCTCCTGTGGAAAGTCGACATTACTCTTCAGATGTTGTTGATTACATCAGTTTAGATACTCCACGAAGTCATGAGGGATCGACGATGTCCAATAAATTGTCCGGTGCAACGTTTGAGCATATGTGTCTGTCAGTGTCTTCACCTTCTTCGTTCGAATTTAAATAAATTAATTGTGATTTAAAGACCGGGATCGTCGCCAATTCAGTCAACATTCTTCAACGAGTTTAGTTTGCTTATTGAATGTATCACCATTTTCAACGGCCGTGTTATGATCATCGGCGATCTGAATGTTTATTTTAAAGACTCTTCAAAAAATTACACCATATCATTTTTCAATTTAATATCGTCGTTTGGATTTGAACATTTGCCAACTTCAACACACAACAAAGGAGGTCTTCTGGATGTCATAATTTCAAACCCGAGTGTCGGATTTTATGACGTTCGGGTTCATCCACCTCTCATCTCGGATCATGGATTGGTTACTTGTTCACTTAACGTAAAGTTATCTCAGCCAGTAAGTTAATCTTTGTCAAAAATTTGAAATTTCCACAGGATTAATTACAAAAAACTCAACAATGACCTTATTGCAAATAATCTATGTGATTCAGATGTGTATTTGAGGTACGGTGTGGTTGGCCTGTTCAACCTCTGTGACTCAACTCTCTGCGGACTCTTTGATCAACATGCCCCTCTAAGTGTCGAAAAGACTACCAACGAAAAAGAATCTCTGGTTCAATTCCGAATGTCTGGCGAAAAAACGTGATTTACGAAATTGCTGAGAATTATGAACGTTTGAGGCTGGCCTATAAAGAGAAGCATTTGTTTTTCATAGAAAAAGAACGACGTTTTCAACATAATTTGATAAAATCAAACGAAAAAAACCCAAAAAAGTTGTGAAGTGTTGTTTCATCTCTCCTAAAAAATAAATCTCCCTTCATAGCAAATTCATCTATATCAGCCCATGGCTATCCACGTTATTTAACTGAAAAATCAAACGTGACATTTAATAAGAATATGGCTCCTGATTTTCAAATGGTGAATCATCGTTTCAACTGTTTTAACTCAGTTACATTAAACGAAATTAAAAATAAAATTCAGTGGTCACTAACCAAATCTTGTAGCCTCGATCCAATACCGACGTTCATTGTCAAAAAATTGTTGGATACACTGCTGCCATTTTTCTATGTTTTGATCAGCAAATGCATTCAATCATCAACAATGCCTCAATCACAAAAGATGGCAGTGGTGTTACTTCTGTTAAAAAACCTGGATTATCATCAAACATGAAAGGCAATTTCAGGCCAATTTCCAACACTCACATTCATTTCAAAAAACATTGAGCGATTTGTTGCCGATCAGCTTCTTAAATATTTGAATACACATGCACTTCTTCCGAAACTACAATCAGGGTTTTGCTTTCATCATTCGAAACTGCACTGTTGAAGGTTTGTTCAGATGTCTGTGAATCGATCGATAAAGGTAACGTAGGCTTACTCGCCCTAGTTGATGTAGGTACAATTTTTGATACTGTTCACCACAAAACGTTGTTGAAGCGGATTTCAGTATCATACGGTTTTACTGATGCCGCTTTGAAGTGGTTTTAGTCATATCTATCTAACAGAACTCAAATTGTTACCGTAGAGCAAGAAACTGCCACGAACGAAACTGGATCGTGGTGTGCCCCATGGATCGGTTCTTGAACTCCTACTTTACATTTTATATACAGCTGACGTTGTGATAGTTGTTGAGTTATTTGGTATTGGCTGTCATTTATATGCAGATGATGTGCAGTTGTATGGTTTCTCACTAATCATTACTATTCATTTTTATAATTTACAAAATCAACAACTCCTCTAATTTCCATTGCATCGAAAACTTATTCCAATTTATCTGATCCAGTTGAACATTGCAACAAAATTAACGATGTGATGAAAGATTGTACAGACGAAATCGGAATCGTTTAAAAAGAACTACGGTTTACATTTTTTGTTTGCATTAGAAAAAAAAATTAAATCCAAAAAATTAAATTATTAATGAAAAGAAATAAATAGAATTAAATTAATAACAGTTCACAATGAACAAATTGCCTAACATGAAGGTTAACATTTATGTTGTAACTTTGAGTTTGTATTGAGCTGAAAAATGTTGTTAATGTGACGTCGAGTAGAAGCCAATCATAGTGGTTGTGCAATCAATTTTCAGTTCTTTTGATGACGTCTCGCTGATGCATCAGCATTTTATGTGGATGTTCTGATGACGCGAGATGAGATAGTAATGCGAACGAGGTAATATTGGGTTTCTCACTCGATAACTTCTACGTTTTACAACTAATACTGGTTAATAATTCCAAACATATGAATTAAATTAACTTATGGATATAGCAAACACAATAAAGGTCTATTAAATACTAAGTCACACAAAAAAACTTTAACACAACTTTAACATACATGATATGAGAAAGTGCTGCAGAAGCAATTTTTGAAAATTAAGAGGATCTGCAGAATATTTATCATCCCAGAGACCAAAAATTATTCATTTTTTAGTCCGTCAGTTTTGAACATATCATAATAATTTCGCTTAAAAATATAAAAAACAAGTACCAGTACATATTCTAGTCGTCTCAATAACCCTGTGCAACTGACAGAAGAAAAGGGTAATAATCTAAAGTTAATATCAAATCAAAATAGTTTTCATACGAGTTCACATGCAACCAATCTTATTTTACCTATTTCTGTTTATACAACTTTCTCAACAATGTGATATAGAAAGAACTTGCGTCATTGGTTTAAATTTGAACTGTATCGTTCATGATCGGCAGGTTGGCATACGAAACAAGGACTCAATGATTGGCATGGCATCTTCTCGTGTAACAAAGATGCCAAATGAGAGCAATTGCAAAGAAATAACTCGTCCGATGACTGGTTTGTTTAAATGCAGGTCGATGTTTGATTTGTTATGACTTTCCAAAACCACTTTGTATCGTGGATGTCGTTTACTGGAAGGGCATTCTATGCCGTCATCCGAAACAGTCAACGCGTTCAAGTTTTCGTCCCTGTTCAACGACTGCAATAGGTTGTGGCTGCGTGTCTCAACCGCATGAAACCGGGGATTGGTGACGCGTGAATGCTGATGTGGTTTTGGATCACACATTTCGTTTGTAGTTTGAAATGTCTTCACCAAGTGACAAACGGACTTGAAGACCGGCATGCGTTCAAGTCCGGCATCATCACAATCCAGTCTCACTTGTTGCAAGGAGTCTCCGGAAAATATTACTTCATTTCTGCATGAACAACAATTATTGTCTAATGAAGTTAATCTGGATTTAGATTGACTGGTACAGTGGATACAGTCAGTCCAATAACCGCTCGATACGCAGTATTTACTGGAATGTAATGGTTTTAAAGTCGATTGCGTGAATGAACTACAATCAGTATATTTGCTGGCGCCGATAATTCGTACAATTCGTACAGAAGTAACTCCATTTTTTGTTTTCAGACTAAGTGTGTATATGAAATTTTTTGAATCAGAACTTTTTCTCAAAATAAATGAATATCTGTTTTTACTTTTTAAAACTTGTTTAGACTCTTCTGCAGTCATCTTTTCATGATAGTATGGGTAACAGATTTGAATAACCTTTCCATAATCCAGAAAAATAACTGCACATAGATCAACGCGCCGATTAGATAAATCAAATATCAGGTGTTCTTTTACATTTTCAGTGGTTGGAAGGCAATGAACAAGTAAAAAAGGTTCAAACATCTGTAGAAGATTCTTTCTAAAATTCTGATCAAATTTCAGAGCCGACAAAAGAGGTTCGCATAATGGTAATGAAAAATTTATTGAAGTTTCCTCGAGAGAAGTTAATACTAACGTGTCGCTAGATTTGTACACGTTGTTTAAATTCGTATGCAACCGATGTTGTGGCGTTGATGACTGTTCTTCTGTTTGGGGCACCACAGTCACTAACCTTGTTGGTGTAGTTGGTGTTGTTGTTTGGTTAACCACTGATGCCGATGTTGTTATAAATGGTGTTGCCGTCGGACATATTTGAAAATTTATTAACGGTGACTGGCAAAACTGACAAATGAGGTTTGGGTCCCTAAGTGGCACTGAGTTGTTAAAAATCCTAATATCAGCCTGAACATCACGTCGAACACCAGCTTCCTTGTAGTGGCAAATAGTTGGTTTCACGATTCCAACCGGTTTTGATCGATGATCCGTGATGCACTTGTCATTCTTCATCATCCCAAACAATACCAAGTAAGCTGTTGATAAAGTTTTTCCATGGTTATAATAAAAAAATAGCAATGTTAAAACGAATAAATTCAGATGAGTTTAATGTAATAAAAACTGATGATTAAAAAATTTAAATAAGTAAAATTTAATTACTAGCATTTAGCTTGCATCTACGTTAAAATACAAAAAATTTCAACGAAAACCAAAACATCAGTTAAAAAAATAACACTGTATAGTTGAAACTGAAAGCCTAAAATTTATAAAAACGCGGAGATGTTTTAAAAAAAATTTTGTTTCGACTAGATCAGACGGTGAAAATGCCATGACTCAAATTGTTATCAATGCGCAATGACCTGCCTCGAACACAATCTTTCTAAAACTCAAAAAATGTTATACGCTATACGCATATGAAGCGGCGGTGGTGTGCATAGTACAGTTAGAGGCGGAAAAGTTAGAAGACAAGTATTAATATAAAACAATATGTCAGAAACATTATCTCAGCCGCCTCCATGCTCCATCTTTCTCGTGAGTTAATAAGCGAAACCAAATCTAGTCACTCAGTTGTCTCAAAAACTAACCACTAAAATCTCTACGACCAACCGATGATATATATATATAATATATATATATATAATATATATATATATGCTGGTAGGAGACCATAATTGATGCATTATTTGATAAAATCAACCAAATTCAGTAGACTTAACCAATTATATATATATATATATATATATATATATATATATATATGTGTGTGTGTGGATGTGTGTACACATATTCATATATAATCAATGTTGAAGCAGATTATCACTATCTATAAATAATTATAATATAATATAATAAATTTAATAAAATTGCATTATAAAATATTACGTTATTTCTAATAATATTTATGAGTTTTGGTTTTTACTACAGAAAATTAATTATTAAAAAATTAATTATTATATTTTACTTCATTACTCATTACTGATTAAATTTAATCAATTATTTAATCAGTATTTTTTCAATCACAGCAAAGATCAAATAAATAAAAGTAGCAAACCTTGTCTTGTCTCAATCCTAAAAAGATATTTCTAATTTTAAATTTCAAGTTGTGAAATTATTTCTATACCTTCACAACTTGAAATTTAAAATTAAATATTTATAAAAAAATTAATATACATTATGAATAAGTAAAATTAGATATAAACATAAACTATTAAACATATTTTCAAATAAAATAAACTATTATTTATTATAAACTATAAAAGTATAAAGTATAAATAAAATAAACTTATATGAAAATAACTAATTCTTTCCAATCGTTCCCTTTTTTATAATTGTAAATATTTTCAATATCCATATTTATATAGATATAGACAGATAGATTGATATAGATATGAAAGCATTGTTAGATATTCCACGTTTCATATTCTTATATATTTCGTTTCGTGCTTCATTGTCGCACAACTAAAATTTTTGTTTATTTCGGTTTCTATGGGAATTTCCAAACCAAAGTTTCACAACGATGCGTAAAAATTTTTGAACGTTTATTTATAGTCAAGGTCAATTATTAAATGGATATATCCATAATTAAAAATCAAAAAGGATGGATTTTTAAGGATTTTTTAAAAATCCTATCGTGTGATACTTTGCTTTTCGCCTTGAGTCGTTGTATGTTAAAATGGCTGCCGTCGAGTCGGTAACGAAACGGTATGCCTGCGTTAGTCAGAAAACCATCGCGATAGATGAGAACGGCGGCAGTGAGAAACAGATTAAAAATCACAGGGGGCAGAACGAAGTTCTGTTTTACTTTCACCAAAACATCAAAGGTTTAGATTCCTAACCACGAACAACGACTTTAGCTCTCATACACGTATGAAATTCACGCAGTACCGTCAGCAATTTTGGCGGGCAGCTAAATCTACCCAAGATCATTCACAAAAAGTTTCTGTGACCGTGTCGAAAGCCTTCGTCAGGTCGATGAAGGCCAGAAAAAGATCCTGGTTCTGTTTACGACACTTTTCCACATTGCGTTTCTGGAATGACAACATCAACAATGTGTTTTTGAAATCGTTTTAACATGACAGGAGCCAAAATCTTGCCAGCGATGGTTACCACACGATTGTCTATCGCCCTTCTTTTTGTAGATGGTCACGATGTTTGCATCCTTTCCTTGCTGTGATACTATGCCAGTGGTCCACAAACGAAAAATAAATTATGCAGCCGCTGACTTAGACAAAAACCACCTTATTTTTATATTTCTGTGGAAATGCCGTCTAGTTCTGCTGTTTTGTTATTTTTCATTTCCTTGACGGCTGACAAAACCTCATCGAGTGCAGGAGGGCTATCAAGTTCAGCAACAACCGGGAGTTTCGGAAGGACTTCTATAAATGACGCAGTTCAACAAATTACTAAAGTGCTCGGCCCAGCGTGACACGATTCCCTCAAAGTCTCTGATCAATGCCAGACCATCTTTTGACTTAATTGGATGAAGAGAGTGCTGGGCTGGTCCATAAACAGACTTGAGAGAATAAAAAAATCTTTGCGTATTATTTGTATTTGCTAATCTCTGTAGTTTCCTAGCTTTTTTCGTCCACCAATCGTTTTCCAGGCAGTGCAACACTTGCCAAACCTTTGTAAGTCTGTATTGCTGAGCCTATTTTTATGGACTTTGTTTTTAGTTTGCAAAAGATTAAGAATGCCTGGTCGATTCTCATCAAACCAGTCCTGATGCTTTCTTGCGAAAAACCCTAGAATCTTTGTAGCTGTTGACAGTATGAAGGAGCTGATTTTTTTTCCAAATTTATTTGACAAAAAAAAAGTCAGGAGATCAAAAAAGTAACAAAAGTACTTGTGAAGACCACCATGACTAAAATCAAACAAAAAATTACAATAATAGACTAATAATAATACATTCACAAAATTAAATACATTTAACAACCACGTCGATAAACAAATACATTGCATAAAAGAAGTAAAATAAAGTACTGAATCACAAAACAAAATGAAGGTCATACATAAACACAGTCAATTAGCACGTCCATATGTCATCACAGCGTCTTTTGCTCATTGCTTAAATCCCTTCAAAGGCAGATGTGATTGACTATCCATGGCCAAATCATTCTATAATTTTGTACCCCTTATTATCCAGCTACGTTGGTAGGTGGAAGTTGTAAATTTTTTTAACAATTGACCACGTTGCCTGGTAGTTGTCCGAACCCTATGAAAAAAATTTAACTGCTCATAATCTTTATTAATAAGTATTTTATAAACAAATACCAGCAGAATAATATTATGTAATTGTTCTATTCTAAGAATTTGATGGTTACGAAACACGTCATCAATATGATCGCGAAAGTTCAAAGAAAAAATTATTCGCATAAAACATTTTTGCATCACTAAAACTTTATTGATCCAATATTTACTGGCGGATCCCCAAAACACATTTCCATATAACAAATGTGGATAAAAAAAAGAATAATAAAGTAAGATCATTGACTTGACATTCAACCTGTCTCTCACTCTAAACAGAATCCCAACCGCACGGTACAGCCTATGGACATTCCATTTCAGTTTGTATAACAATTCCCAAAAATTTTACCGAATGAACCAGTGGAAGAGATATGCCCTAGATAATCTGCTCCAAGCCACTCAGGGGCACTTTGTTCGTTTTTATCGAGGGACCAAAGATGACATAACAAGACTTGGATATGTTCACAGTCAGCCGATTGGACAAAAACCAATCATAAATCACACTAAGCTGGCTATTCATCTCCGTGAATAAGTCAAGCAGGCTCTTACCTGACAAAAAATACTGGTATCGTCAGCAAATAACATCACAGTGCATCTATCAGATACAGAAAAGATAACGTTCACAAATATTATAAACAACAAAGGTCCCAATATGAAACCCTGAGGGACACTTAAAGGGGATGACACAACATTGTCAATAGAAACATACTGACTACGATCAGTTAAATAAGATCTCAACCAATCAAGAACAATTTTACGAAACCCATATTTAACAATTTTCAAAGCAGAATTTCATGGTCAATCACATCAAAAGCCTTTTTCAGGTCGAAAAAAACACCTATGCTGAAATTTTCTTTATCAATGTTTTCCAAAAGAGACAAGTGCAACTCTGCAATGGCTTTCTCAGTAGAGGACTTCGGAACAAAACCGTATTGGTGTTTATTAATCACATTATGTTCAATTAAAAAACTCCACATTCTATTGAACATTAATTTTTCAAATATTTTAGAAAATACCGGTAATATTGAAATTGGTCGGTAGTTACCAAACATAGCCGGGTCGCCACTTTTGAAAATTGATAAAACCTTGGCTATTTTTAAAACAGACGGAAATATACCCGTTTTAACAGACTCATTAAACAAAAAAGAGATGTGACCAGCTATCTGACAAACAGTGCTTCTCAAAATCTTGGTTGACAAGAAATTACCATCAAAACTATTTTTTGACTTTAATTGGTTGACTACAGTTATAACCTTTTCAGATGTTGATTCACGTGGAACGAATGTTGGATAATTCTCAATTCGTAAGAAAGTAAAAATTTCGTTGAATTTTAAACATTAATGACCATTCATCGGTCACTGAAGGTACATCAGTAGATTGCTGAGCTTTCCAAAAACACTGGACAGCTCAGTTTGTTGTGTACGTTTAGAAAACTCTTCCTGAAGTTTTTCTTGCATTATCAGATTTTGGCAAGTTCTAATGTTCGGCTTTTTACCAGATCCCTGTCTTCGAGTTGGTGGAGTAAGTTTAATTGCAAATTTGGATACAAGACGATGATCAGTCTAATACTCTGCGCCTCTCATAACTCGTGTATGATTGACGTCGGCAACATCGCGTTGTCTGGCTATGATATAGTTCAAAAGAGGCCAGTGCTTGGATGCTTGGACTGTGGATGCATCCAGATAGTTTTTTTTGATTACGCTGCTGGAAAAGGGTGTTAGTGATGACTAATTCGAATTCCACACAAAGATTGAGGAGTCTGAATCTGTTACTGTTTGCGCTTCAACCACTGCGTTGAAATCACCAAAAACTACAATTTTGTCATCTTTATGTATTCTCTGAAGGGTGGTACGAAGGCAATCGTAAAACATATCTTTTACCAATTCTTCTGCGTTAAGAGTTGGGGCATAAGCACTTATGATAGTCATGTGACGATTTTTTGCAAGCGGAATGCGCATGAACATAAGTCTTTTGGTAACTTAAGTCTCAGTAATGTTTTTGAGTAAGTTTGTACGGACAGCAAAACCAACACCATGAATCCGCGCATCGTTGCCTGATAAAACCCTCCAAAAGAATGTGTATCCTACCTTCACTTCAACCAGAGATCCTTCGTCCGGCAGACGGGTTTCAGACAGTGCAACAATGTTGATTTGATATCTGCCTAGCTCGAAGTAATAAGTACGGTGCGCTGCGCAGGTCGTTTCGTAATAGTTCGGTCCAAAAGCGTTCGTACGTTTCAGGTCGCAAATTGAATAGGTTCACAAGTCAATATTTGTTTTTTACCACTAAGGAAGATGCCCAATGAGCGCGGTTACCCATTTGGGAAAAGGTCGGGAACGAGCAATTTTAGGCCACCTTTTTTAAGCCCCTCCTTGTTTAAGGTGAGCAGTGTGAGTCATAAATAGGGCTGCTCAGTCATCCTGGAAGCCGCCAAAGAGATTTGTCATTCCCGGTTCTAAGTCTCAACGACCAACACTCCAGAACTGCCTGCGTGCAACACAGATTAGAGGCATCTAATTCCATCCTGAATCTACCTCCGACACCTGTGTAACCATCGGCGCAGGTCTTTAAGAGGTCTGGTCTACTGTCACCGGTAATAGTGCGCAAAACAGACGCAGGAGAATTTTAACGTGAAAAAAAGTCGCGAAAGCCTTCGGTTCACAAAACTTTGTTGCAACCATCTAAACCCAGTGGCATGGACAGTCTCCAAAAAAACTAGAAAAAACTGCAACTGCAGAGGCCTACCATTTGATTCTAGATGATGAATGCCGTTTTGACGCGTGGTCTCAACGCAGGTTTGCGATCAAAGCTCCTTCCACCCAGATTTTGTTATCGGAGTGTGCCTTCTCCGAGTTTTGAAATCAGAGTTAACCCGGGTCATCTGGTTTAAGCGCCAAAAACCCCGTTTTGGCCTCTTCTGCTGTTAGGTTGAAGAGCGACGAGGACACCAGTAACTGGACTTTACGAACAAAGCCTGTGTCAAAAGGGCATTTCCCGAGATTTATAACTGCACAGCTAACCAATGCAATGCAGCCCCTGGGACCCATACTCCATTTTCTCCATTTCATTAAATATATATGTAAATAATATTATACATATATATATATATAAAGTCGACATATATACATATATACATATATATATACATATATATATATATATATATGTATATATATATATATATGCAGTAATTTATGAAATATACCGAATTTTTAGCGTTGGATAGTTTTCATTACATTTCTCAATATTTCTAACCAAAATTCTTGTCGTCATTAGTTAGTACAGATAAAGACACTGATGAAAGTAACATTGACCAAAGCGCTATCAAAGAGCAAATAAACAATACCAATAAAATTACCATAATATAACATAACACCGAAGCAATAAAACATAACACCAAAGTAATTAGCCCAAACAAAGAAACCATATTAATTAATAAAGAAAACAGTAAAATTAGCACAGTTACTAATAACAATAAATGCTAATCACAGGACCTAAGGCCTGGGTTATACAAATTTCCTATATTAACTGGAACAAATGCTGAAGATGAGTAAAAAATCGAAATATATCCAGGATGTACAACAGCGCTCCCTAGTCAATTTTACAAACAGATGGGTCTTGAAATCCGCTCTAAATTTTTCAAGTGATGGAGAAAAAGTTAGAAAAGTAGGTAGAAATTTCCAGAGAAAAGGGCCAGAAAAAGCAAACTCGGATTTAGCATAAAAGTTAAGAGTTAACACGAGTTAAGAAAAAGTGAGTTTAAGAAAACGATTGTAAATCGGAGCATTTAGGTTTAATAATATATCTATTAAATACTTAAGAAATAATTTTTATTGAGACTTAATTAATTAGCAGATCTTATAAATTATTTTATATTTTATAGGTAACCAATGCAAAAGAATAAGATTAGCAGATATATGAGAAAAGATAAGGGCAAACGAGCACCCGATTTAAAAGCTTTATTTAAAAAATAGAGTGTAGAATCAGGAAGACCAGAGTAGAGCAAGTTACAATAATCAATCCTGGATTGAAGAAACAAATAGGAGAAGAGTGAAGTGTATGAACTTTTAGAAACACTATTAATCTGAGAAGAAAGAGACGTGCTAGAATTCAGAAACAAAGCCTAAACTAAGTAATTTTTGAGAAACATTAAGAGTTTTAGAATCAGGTAAAATAATGGTAAAAATACTAATAAAGTGTTTAGATTTATTAAAGCGTATCAATTCAAACTTAGTTTAACATACATAAAGTTACACCACGTGATAATAGAAGAGAAATTATGAATTAAGGGTTGAGACTGTTGTTCATACACTTTCGGCTAAAAATGCAGTGATGTTTTTCAATAATTTTATAAATAACAAACCAAAAGCTTTTTTTTACAATTTTATTGTTATTATTCATTGCCTGAATCATCACCTTCCGGGCCACTCATCAGTTTGTTGATCGTTAGCCATTGAAAACATTGGAATCATGTGACTGAACGCGGTTTGGTTTCAATTCCAGGAAGGAGTGAGATAAGGAGAAGAAAAGTGAGAAGAAGAGAAACTTCAGAAAAGAATTTTTGTGTATTATTTGTTAACAACTGTCTGATCATAAATTATAATCACAAAATTTTGAGGTATTTAAAGATATTATTTGTGTATTTGTGTAAAAGTTTTTTTACAGATTTAATTAATAAGCTACATTTTGAATTTCAATAACACCTGAAACAAAATAAAAATACTTTCATGTTTTCTATATAATACAACCATGGATAAAAATATATATATCCATGAATACAACAACAATACAAATTTTCGAAACAATACAACAAAAACAAAAGAAGTTTTCTAAAGTCGTTACGAAAAATTTTGATAAAACTATTAAAATTTAATATTTGATGGACACAAGTCTTGTATTCCATGGTGAACCTGGTATAATATAGGACTTTTTTCGTTCGATAAAAAAAGACTACAATTTGTATGATGTTCAGGCGAATGTAAAACTACTTATGAACTACAAGTTCATCTGATGCATTACTAATTCTACAGCCATTTTTCATATGGTTCCTTATTCACTTGGTGCACTGTTTTTCTAATGAACTGTTCTTTCAGTGTTTTTCATCTGGCGCATTGATTGATTAATGTAGCGTTGTTCACTGTGGTATTGTTTTCCAAACAAAAAGTTTTTTCATAAACATAACTAATTTAATTTTTGAAATTAGCACACCGGTAAAGAAGACATTCAAACGAAACAGTCTATTTTTTAATTTTTCAGTAGATCCATGTAATAAAATACTAAATATTATTATATTGAAAACAAAATGTGTTATTGTCCGCTTAAAAAATGAGATGTACTTTTTTATAGTTCTGTGTTGTGCGGTGTGTCGTACTCTGCTGATGATTCTCTCCAACGACGATGATTCAGAAGAATTTTCACAACATCTACGATTAATTAAAGGCAGCATATATAGATATATAGTTTTGTGCATTTACATGTGATCAGCATGGTGCGGCAGTCAATTATGTTAAGACATGTTTCTCGTTCGAACTGCTGCATAAATTAATGCATCGCTAGTGGTGGGTTTTTGGGTTTTCTAAGTTTCTCTATTTTCATAATTCTTTTTTCGTTTAATACTGTTGATAGTGTTTTCTGTATTATTACGTGTTGCTCTTTATTTGCATTTGTTGGTACGAACTTCTGCTACTAACAAGACACCTTGTTGTGAGTTAAAATAAATAAAACAAACACAATTCAGGCGTAATATAATATTATCTTTATTCCCACGTGAATCTCGAACCGTTTCGTTTACAAGCTATCAGGAAAAAGGGTAGAAATCGAGAGAGAAGCAAAGACATAAAAATTAACATAGATTAAGTAACATTGAAATTGCAATAATCTTTAATAATAATTTATATGTGATATAGTTAATAAATGAATGTTTGATCCCTACACATTCATCGTTGAACTGCATACAAAATTTTATTATTGAAAAGGGAAAACTACCATATTTTTATTAATTTGCATAATAGATGAAAAGATTAAACATTAAACAAAGGTATATGATTATTGTTTATTAATCTAAGTGTCTGATTAAATTAAATTGAATATTAAATTGAATTATTAAATTTTATTTTTTTAAAATTAAATTGCACGTTAAATTACATTGTTCTTAATTTAAGTAATTGTTATATACAAATTTAGAAACTGGACATTTTGTTTCGCCGAAACTTTTTTAAAATGGTAGCATATTTCTAACATGCTTCGAATCAAAAAACTAATAAAACAAAGCAGACGATAATTTATTAGCAAAATATTTATTTACAACTTGAAAAAATTCACAGTGGACGTTAGAGGAAAGGTGGTGTGATCCTGTCGTCTGCAGTAAGATCCGAGACACTGCAGGATTAAAATTTAAAAGACATACATTTTTATTTTTAACTCATTAATTGTTTTATCATCTAATAAAATAGGAATGTATCGATAAGTTTGAATTGGATTCAATAAAGTAAATAATTTGTTCAACGTTGACAAACACTGAGCCGCTAGCGAATAATCCTTCCTCAATTTCTAATGAATGTTTGTGTTAAAAAGCGTCCATACGGAAGTCGCACGATGTGTATAGGCACCTGTACGTAACGCTAAGCAAGGAGCTTGTAGCCTGATTTTTGCACAAATGGCAGTCGGTCGGACAAAGCCAGTACGCACGTGAAACTGAAATTTGAGTTAACTCGACGAAGCCTGAAAAATATGACGAGCGATTTGTCTAGCTTATGAGAAATTGAAAATTAAACCATCACCACATTCAACAATTTTTGTAAAATTAGTTTTTATAAAATAAATTACCATTGAAACAAAACTGACGTCACAGACCTTGACATTATTAGCAGAGATATTTGCCAGAACATATTTGACACTCATTCCGACAATGTAGTTGAAATGGTGCCAGGTGGTTCCAACATTAGCATAGATGATCGAGACTTGAAGTCCTGATATCATGTTCTCGCACACCGATCCTGTTTTCTATCAACAAATATATTTCATTGAGTGAATTTATCATTTATCGTGCACTGTTGATTTTAATGACACGTGAAACACCACGCTCATACAGAAGCATTTTTTTAAATTTCTACAAAAAATAAACGGAATAAATTTTAAATATTAAATCTCCGTAGATGGTCCCCCAAAAAAACTTGCTCCATGTTTTGCGTACATTTTGTTTCGGAGGAAGATCATCGTAAATGACTGGGACCCAGTGGGAAGCATTGCAAAATGATTTTGTAGCGTTGCCGACGGAACTGACGTACCTTGCTGGAGAGGAGCCAATCAACAAGTCGGTGATGTTCACACGCATTGCTTCACACAATTCAGGACTGCCTTCTGTCAAACTGTACGTGTCGTGTTTTTGTTGTGTAATAATAATAATATTAATACGGAAATTTGCACGATGCTTCAGAGGCGCCCGGAGCCCGCATCCGCGATCAAATGTTTTTTCAGCATTCTCTTAAAAGCCGACAGTGACGTGCTACTTCTAAGCTCCGCTGGCAGACCGTTCCACAAACGCGGAGCTGCATGACGGAAACAGCGACCCGCAAAATGTGACTTTGCTATTTGAATGTTTGAAAAGAAGGAAGATGAAGGACCTAAGTTTTATCATGTTTATGGCGTGATATTACATTGAAAAGATAAATGGGGGACCGTGACCTTAAGACCTTGAACGTAGTGATAGTGATTATGTTAGAAATTTGCTGCTGTACTGGAAATCAGTGCAATGTTCTGAGGAGCTCCGATGAGTTTGTGTTAAGTTTTAAGTTTTATATTAAAACATTATGATTTATAATATACATTTATTTTTCTTTGGACCAAATGTTCTTTGCTTTGTATGTAACTTCACTTTTTCCTTTTCTGTTGATCCGGTGGATAATAAACAAGTCGAGAACGTTGCTTGGTTTATTTCTCTTCTTTTAATGTCTTTCAATATTATATCAATTAATTAAACGATCTACGTAACAAGAAATTTAACAGTCTGAAGGCGCAAAAAATTAATCTTCTTCCTGCCAAGAACCAGTAGGGTAGACCTATCTTGAATCGACTGCAATTTTTTAGTCAAAGACTTGAAAGCGTTATGAAGGAGCGAGTTGCAAGAGTCAAGTCGAGATAAGATTAAACAAAGAACAGTGTCGAGGCAATCTCGGTCGTTATAAGATGCCTGATGCGCGAAATGACAGGTAAGTAGTAATTGCATGCTCTCAGAACGCTGGTGACGTGCCTGTGAATAATGAGGTGTTTGTCAAAATTTATCCCAACAAGGCTGATAAGCCAGCAATATTAATTAAAATTGGTGATGCTTGAAAATTTTTGATTGAGCTGCTTGGGTACAAATAAACAGGTCTCCAGATTTATGAGGGTTTAGTGCAAAGGTTCGATGTTTGGAAAGGGATTTTACGACATATTAACAAAAAAATACGCCATGCTGCTTGATAAGATTATTGATAGGGGAAACGTAGACTGTGAACAGAATCAGACCACACCGAAATCGACTGCAGCAACCGGCAAGGCGTGGTCGCAAAGCTTGACAAATTGAGACCTACCCTGCTGATACGAGTCCAACCAGAACATACAAGTCCACCAACACCAAATTCAGAGTGAAAAATTTAAGCAGGATACCATGCTTGTATATTACGTCGGATGTGTGTGCATCTATTCGTATCATGTGTGTATCATATTAGTATCATATGTGTGTGTTGTATTCGTGTCGCAAATGTGCGTTTTTGTGTTTGTTTCGTGTGTGTTAGTGTCGTGTGTTTATATGTTTGTGCCGTGTTTTTATCGTCTGCGCGGTGTTTGTGCCGTGTTTGTGTGTATATTTGTGTCGTGTGTGTGCGTGTGTTGGTGTTGCCTGTGGAAAAAGAGAAACTCTACACAAACCTGTGAAAATATAAATGAAAATTTGTAACACATTTATCATTATAATAATGTATAGTAAGTAATATCAATTAAAATGACTGATGTTTATTGCACGACGTATTCTATTAATATTCAGTGTGATTTCATAGTTAGGAGTTTTCGAATGGCTCGTAAATTTTAAAGGTTTCGAAATTTCTTTCTATAGATTATGAGCATGAATGGATGTTGGCAAATATAAATAGATTGTGATGAGTCAGTTGAGGAAAGATTGTACGTTCATTCATGCAAATTATAAAGTCAGCATCTTAACTAGAATTGTGTATGTTGCTTGTCATGTTGTTGGGGTAAGTAAAATATGAAGTTGGTGATATAAGCTGTGTACAGAATTAATAAAGTGTTCAATAACAAGTCGTCGTTTCAAGCGGCCTTAAACCTGATGTACAGAAATGTTCAACCACTTGGCGTGAGACAACAATTGGACATGAGACATTACTCAAACTACAAACGTACATAAAAAGAATTAACATTGTTTACGTTGTTAATTAAATAAATTTAAGAAAATAATAACGAACTTGTATGAAAATATGCAGCCACTGTGCATGCCCACTCTGAATTTTATGGGCAACCTTTGGGAGTCCGTGGAACATTCACTCACTTCATCATCATACGGAGAGGATGATGATGAGGATGGCAGTGGTGGTGGTGATGATGATAAGAGTTGCGGTATCACAGCATCGCCACAGCTGAATGATTACAAGACAGTGATCAACATTATAAGAATCGTTATCAATTATGGATAATGAATTAAAGTGATTAGACCGAATTTATATCAAAACATGCAAATGTATTAACAAATTAGACAACAACAGTAACAACAGCAACAACCACAACAACAACAACACAACAGTGACATAAAAGCAGGTCGTTAAAGTAAAAGAAAACAACGCATCAAACGTTTAACATCGTAATTATCATAATTAATAACACGTACGCAAATCGTTGTTAACAAAACAAAGAAAATAACATGGGGCGTACGTAACATATGTAACAAAAGCGTCTATAGAAGGGGGAGGCGCGTTGCCTCCAGTTTAAACTACTAGGAGAAATATTTTTGAGTAAGCTCCGAATTATAACAAACCGCCTACGACCTACCAAGGCAAATGATGCGTTGGTGATGATGGCAGTAGCGAAAGATCTGCTTCAGACATTTATTATGATGAAATAATACTGCAAATTGTATTATCAAGTCTTTCTTGGAAGTCTTAGCTGTTGTGCAATCAATTATTATTCTAAAATTTTGACAAATGTTATATATATATATATATATATATATATATATATTATTTTTTCTGTTTAAAATTATGTTCGTTTTTCTTTACATTTAATAACCTAATGAGAGAAGTTTTGGTTGTCATCAAAAAACATCGTTAGTAACGTCAATGAGTTGTGTTCACGCTTTTTATTGCATGTTTAAATAATTCTAAAATGAAACTGAACCGAAAGTGAATTTTTCACCTCCAACATTCATGGAGGTAGGTAGAGACGCCCATAGGTAGTATGCAACATGTAACATAATTAACAGTAAGATACAACATAGCATAGTAACGTGTTGTTAACATCTCGTGTAATGTATTAATGTAACTAATATCATTTTAGTGAAGCATATAATATAAAATGCTTATTAGGACTAGCATTATGACCAAAATCATTTGCCACACAATTCTACTTTCACTCTAATTTGCCCTTTTAAAACTAAAAAAGAGCTTTATAAATTCTCCATCAGTAATAATAATAGTAACAATGATAATAATAGTAGTAGTAATAGTAGAAGTAGCAGTAGTAGTAGTAGTAGTAGTAATAGTAGTAGTAGTAGCAGTAGCAATAATAATAATAATAATAATAATAACAGTAATAATAACGAAAACGACATAACAGGATTACATGTCGTTAGATCCAGCTGACAGAATGACTAGGGAGTCGTCATCGTAACCAGGATTGCCGCTCCTGACAAGAGACGTCAGACTTTCATTTTCCTGTTAATATAGTTACCACAATCATCATCATGATTATTACATCGTTGTTGATAGACGCTTAAATCCGGCCGGGGCCGGATTCGGCCGGATTTTGGCCGGAGCTGGGGCCGAACTTTGGTGCATCCCTAATACACACACACACACACACACACGCACGCACACACACACACACACACACACACACACACACATATATATATATATATATATATTTGAAGAAATATACAATTATTAAAGAAAACCTTTCTGAAGAGAAGCACGTGATTTTGAGAAAAGGGAAAGGTTGTTTGGTTGTCGATATCATCCAGAGTTACGTTGATGTGCACCAATTCAATACCGTACGAGTTGTATCGCACCAAATAGACAACCTGCAAAGTAGTAGAAATGTACCAAACTGAGAATTTATTTATTTTATTTATTATTATCATTATTAGGTAAAATAGCACGGACTATAGCCCATTGCCAAACAAAACAGAAAAATCAAAAATCCAATACAAAAATACCTAAAGTTAAATCAAAAGTGTTTCTACTTGAAATTAACAAAACGATTTAATCGGACTCAGTTAAAATTAAATCGCCAAAAATATGACCTCAAAAACCAAAACCATAACAAGCAAAATGATGTGTCGATCAATCTATAAATCAAAATTATTTATACTATATATGTATATATATATATATATATATATATATATATATATATATATATATATATATATATATATATATATTAGGTGCCCATTAATTAACAAGACAAATAAAAATTATGTCAATACAAATGGACCAATATAAAAACAACAAAATTCATTAATAATTAGGTCGATAAATAAACTTGGAATCACCATAAAATACATCAACTGCTGATTTGAATCCAGACAGAGAGGTGGCATTTGCAATGATCGAATGCAGCTTGTTCCTTTCACCAACCACTCTATTTGCAAAAAAATTTAAGGCAGTCTTTATGGCTAGCACTTGTAGTTAGTTTAAAGTTGTGTCTTCTTGTGCGGTCTTCGTGTGAGAACAAACGTAGGGACTACAGCAGCAGGGATCAGACCATGAATTATTCTGAATAATAAAATGAGGTCAATTCTCCTACGTCTGTAAACTAGAGATGGCAGCTCCAGTTTCCTCAGCCGGTCTTCATATGAAAGGTTTCTGCAAGATTTTATTACTTGAGTTGCTCTTCTCTGTACCTTTTCTAATTCATCAATTAAGCCGACTCGGTATGGATTCTATGCCTAGACACCATATTCCAAGTTCGATCTCATCAACGACTTGTACAAAGTTACAAATGCCTCATCTGAAAGATACTTGAAATTTCTGGAAATTATACCTAACATGGAGTTCGCCTTGTGAACTATCTTCAAAACATGGCTAATGAAATTTAATTTGTCATCCACTATGACTCCGAGATCTGATACCTCCTCCACTATAGGCAGATGAACTTGTGATCCACTACTATCCAAAATAGTATATGGAAGACGCGATTTATTGGAGCATATTTCAACAATTGATATTTATCTGAATTTAGTTTTAATCTTCATTTATTAAACCAATCATTTAATTTTCCAATGTCACGCCGAAAACTATTTATATTCTCTTCACTCTTTATTACTCGATAGATTTTTGAATTATCTGCAAAACGCATAATGTTGTCGCAAACAGATGAACTGTCGTTTATGTAGATGAGAAATATCAAAGAGCTCAATACACCACCTTGAGGGACCCCACTTCGAACTGTTCTTGGCTCCGATAAAACATCATCCAATCTTACCCTAAAAGTTCTGTTGCTGAGAAAGTTTTCGATCCATTTTACTATTTTTATATTCACTCTATATTTTTTTAACTGAAATAGTAAACGACTATAAAAAACTTTGTCAAACGCTTTCTCCAAATCCATATAGATTACATTGTCCTCATGACCATGATCCACTCCTTCAGTTACATTGTCCACAAATTTCAAAAGTTGCAAAACTGCGGAACGACCAGGAATAAATCCAAACTGATCTTCTGAAAAGAGATCGTTATTCAAAAAAAATTTCATGATGTGGTCCTTTATCAAAGCTTCCATGATCTTGCAACAAATTGATGTGAGTGCCACCGGGCGATAATTTTTGGTTAAATCCTTTCTTCCCTTTTCATGTAACGGCACAACATGGCTTAGCCTCCAATCATCAAATACCACACCTTCGTCTAATCGTTGAAATAACCTGCATAGATAATTATCAATTGAACCTCGCATTTCCAATAAAACTTTGGGATGTATTTCATCTGGTCCAGCAGATTTACTAGTAATCAATTTACCAAGTTTTGCTGATACCATATCTTGATTTATCAACAAGTCTCCCATAACACAATTTTTAAATCTTGTACAGTCATCCTGATCAAAAAGTGCATCATCGTCATAGACTGAAGAGAAAAATTTAGCAAATCTTTCAACCTTTTCTTTAACATCAGTAATTATCATCCCCATCCCCACTTCTGAAAACGGATAACGAATTCATCATGTCTGGTTACTTTTTTCACATGATTCCAAAACAACGTTGGGTTATTTTTATATTCTTTAGCAATTCTATCTTGACATTGTCGTTTCAACTCCCTTGTAGATTTTTTTATTTTTTCTCTGATTGCCCGATACATTTCTAATTTATCCTCACCATATCTGTATATAGATCTTCAGATCAAATGTTTTTGTTTGATCAACTCTTTTAGTTCCATATTTATTTTAAATTTATTGTTATTATTCTTTCTCTTCTTTAGGACAAATTCATGTGTGAATGCAACCATTTTATCTCCCTTTTGCCTGTTTTATGGTTTACCTGACAGATCGGTTGCGATGCTTCAATCGGTGCAGAACAGAGCTGCTAAAATTGTTGCAGGCGTTGCTAAATTTGACTATGTCACTCTAATTTTGAGAAACCTATATGGACTTAATGTCGACAAAAGGATAATTTATAAAATCAGTATGGTAGTGTACAAGGCCTTAAATAGGTTTATACCAGAATATTTGACATGCAAGTTTCAGAAAAAAAATCAACGTTACGTATTGGAGCCATTTTGAGATCTGACGATGACAATTTGATGATTGTGCCTGTTTTTCGTTTGCAGACGGGAAAAAGAGATTTTGCAGTCTCTGGAACGATGGTATGGAACAGCTTGCTGGAGTCATTAAAAACAGATGGCTCAGGAATTAAAAACATCAGGAAATATTTTTAACGGCAATTTTTATCATTTCAAAAGGCAGTTGAAGACATTCATTTTTCAGCATTAGGTTCGAAATACTTGGAAAGCGCCTATGAAAACCTTTTAATAAGTGCTATATAAATCATCTAATAATAATAATAATAATAATTGATGTACTAACTTTCTTGACAACGTTGACACAAGTACCGTTAACATATACAGGGGATACATTGCATGTTGATGCATTCAGCGAAGTTCCTCCTAATTAAAAATTGTGATTAAAAAAAGAATAACAATAGGTTTTAAATTATAGAAAAACAATGAATAAAATGTAAAAAACAAAATGAAAATTGTGTTGAGCAAGTGGACTCAATCAATAACAAGCAAACTGCCTCCTTGAATCTGGCTCATTCTCCTCAGATCAATTGTGTTGCTAAAAGTTCTTACTTTCATCTACATTAAATAAAAACTTCTGTCAGTTTTTCACGATCTTACTCTTTTGGTACTTGTTTCTTTATTCGTTTTATCTAGGTTTGATTATTGTAACTCGCTCTACTATGGTCTTCCTGATTCTACACTCTTCCCTTTAAGTGAAGCTTCCAACTCTGCTGTTCGTCTGGTTGCTTGTGCCCCAATCTTTCCTCATATATCTCCAAATCTTGTTCTCTTGCTCTGGCTACCTTTAAAATATAGGATAATTTCTAAAATTTGCCCATTAATGTACAAGTCTCAATCTAAATTAATTCCTAATTACTTATCAGATATATATTAATTGAACCTTAACTCTCCGGTTTACAATCGTCTTCTAGTTCTCACTTTTTCTTAAATCGTGTTAAACACTCTTATGCTAAATCTGCGTTTGCTCTTCTAATCCTTTTCATTGGAACTTGCATTTAAATGATTTGAGCAACAACAACACAAAGCTGGGTATAACGTTGTTAAGATAGGATGTAACGTTTTCATAACAATGAAATGGAAACAGATGACCAACCTGCATTTAAATTTTTGCTGTTTGGTCGAATTTTGGTAGAATTGCATCGTGCTTTAAATTTTGTATGGGCACCTAGACTGGTAGCACTGGCTGAAAAACAACGTGACAATATTTTAAACAAGTTCAAACATCAATTCATACATAGCTGAGATGAATTTCATGTATCTGAAATAAAAAGTTATTTCATTTTTAAACTTCATTCCTTATAAAACTTGTAGCAGTTGTAAACGTTTATGAAGCATTTTAAACTAAGTGTGACCATAAAAATTGTTGTAGCTAAAAATAATTTTAATAACAATTAATTATTTAAAATATTTTTACATCGAAAAGCAAAATGTTTGAAACAAATCAATAGTCAGTCAGTGAACATTTAATAAAATATGATGTGACATGCACCGTCACACATTTGAACAATGAATAAACGCGAATTTCTGCAATCCTATCCTGCAATTGCATTTTATAAGCAAAGTGCTTATATAAACACTGCCTACATTACTATTCAACTTTATTTGTTTGTTTATAAACACAAACATCATCAGCATTTTTTACCATTTTCAAAATAAAAATTTTCATGTCACTGGATCAAACAAAGCTTTACCATTGGGTGTGTCGGTCAGTCATGATTTGGACGAATAATTGAATAATGAAAACTCTTTGAAAAGTGGAGGTGTGTTTGAATATGCGGTTGTTTTGGAATGTGTGTGTGTGTGTGTGTGTGTGTGTGTGTGTGTGTGTGTGTGTATGTGTGTGTGTGTGGGTATTTACGAATGTGTGGGTGTATCAGAATGTGTAGTGTATGAGGTGTGTGGAAATGTGTGGGTTTATGTGAATGCGTAAAAACAAATAAATAAATAAATTAAATAATATATGGATGTGTGGGAATTCGATGGTGAGTGGGAATGTGTATAAGAATATTAAGGTTTGTGGAGGTTTGTATACGTGTGAATATGTATAGGTGTGTGGATGTGTGTAGACGTGTGAAGGTGTGTGGATGTGTGTAGGCGTGTGTAGGTGTGTGAATGTGTGTAGGTGTGTTGTATTGTCTGTTGAATGAAAACGCTAACCGTTCCTGCTCCATTGTATGTTACCCTGTTCAAAATTTTATTTGGTTAAAAATTTTCAATAAATTTGTGTTTACGGTATGTTGTAACAAACTGGCAATGTACAATGTCTTAAGTTGTACATTTTTATAATTAGCTATAGAAATGTCAGCTTTTAAAATATACCCCATTGATTTTTAAAAAAAAAGTTGAAAAATCAACCCCCTAATGTACATATGCTATTCGAACGAAAATTTTCAGAACTTAAGCACGTTACAGGAGATTGAATAAAAAATTAATCAGAATAAACAATTACATCGTGTAATTATTAAAAAGTTAAAACAAATATACTTAATTCGTGATTAAATACAAAAAGATAAAATTAATAGAGAAAAGCAAAACGAGTACAGAACAGTGAATAAAAACAACCTCGATAAAAATTAGATTATCGTAATAGGAGGGCACCATCATCGAATTTCCATGAAAAATGCACGCTCGAAAGTTCTGTTGGTTGAGGAGGTCACTTGGGTGGAGGCAGGTGTTGTTGACGTCGTGCAGGTAAACTGGAGGTGCACGATGGTACGTCGATAATAATATTAACCAACCATCCATCGCTGTGACAGATTTATTATGCTTATTTATAATGCTTGTTTGTTTGCGATTTTTAAATTGCTTGATAACTGTTTGTTTCGTTTGCTTTGTGCACTCTTTAAACTAAAACGTAAAAACCAGTGTCGAAATCGTATAAAAAATATCTGACTCCGACCCATCAAAAAATTCCGATTTTGGGTAAAAATTTTCGACTCCTACCCACGACTCCGTCATAACCTTACCTTATTAGCACTACAAAGTAAAAATACTTAAAACCAGTAAATGTAATTGTTTTACCAGCAATTATTTTCAGTATTAAAGATGATTGCATATTGCTACACATATTTATTTTCTAAAAAACAGGATCTTACACATTTTTTTAGAAAAAAGTAAAAATTCTTTAAATTAATATCACCTTCCGGAGATGGAGTTGAATAAAAAACCGACTTCGACTCCGGCCCCTCAAAAGAGTTAAAACGCGTCAGACTAACAAATTAAAAATTTGTCATGAAATTCTAGATAATAAATATGTTATCATCAAAAAATCCACGATAATTGTGTAGATTTAATGAAATCTATTGAATCAACATGTGATAAGACGTTTACGACCCAACCAACACATCTCGTTCGCGTGTTTGATTGAATTTAACGAATTTGTTTATACTATCGGTGCAATGCTTGTGCACGATGTTTAAAATTGAAATAAATGAGCCGAAACCAAGTTTCATGAAAAATAAAAGTTGCTTGAATGTTTTTGTTTATGATGACCAAAGAAGAGACCTGCAGAAGAAGGGAGACATGTTGACGTCAGATGAGGCAGGGTGAACAAGTCAGGAAGGTTCGCATCTCTATTCAGCAGGAACATTGGATCACCACTCTGTACAATAACAGTAGAAAAAAATGAAGCAACTTATCTTTTAAAAGAAATTTCTATACTCAAGTTCGTAGATTTGAACAATAATGTCAATAAATATGAATACTCTATATTGCTTGTTGATAGTTATAACGTCGTCCAATTCGTTTTTTGATGAAGTTTGATTAACCAGGTCAATCACATCCTCAACACTTTTCACGGAGCTCTCATTCACATCTGCATTTAAAATACAACTTTAACAACAATTTTAAAAATAAAGAATATAATAGAAGTAAATGAAATCAGAAAACTTTAAAACTCTGTTCTGCAAAAATCATTCTTTATAATCTTTGCAGGTCAGTTGAAATAATAAAATAATTTAAAGTCATCCAATCTAAAAAAGTTTTTGTGGTTTAAAGAAGAGATTGTGAAATAAAATTTTTTAACAATTATTTGGAAAATGGAAGGGGCACAGTGACAAAAAATGAAATTAAAACATTTCTGTCCATTTATGAAACGTGGGAATGGATGATTTGCAGCATATTAGACACTGGGTGATATAAATAAACATACAAACCAGTCAAAAGTCTGACACAAAATTTTCCATCATCTCCCACATAACCATCCAAAGGCAACTTCAAATTCCATTTAAATATTGCACCTGTGCAAACCAACAGTCTGTAGTTTCTGCAATTAATTTAATCACAATTTTATTTGAATCAATTCAGTTTCAATTGTTTAATAAAGCACATCATGTTATAATGAAATTGGAATAAGACTATCTTCAGCAAAGAAGTAATGGTCAAGAATTTTTTTCCAACTTTATAGTAGGGCAATAGTAAAATCATATTTCATTTTGAAAACTCATATATTTATATTGAAAAGATAAAACTTCATTATTTAGTATTAACTATCACTTGCTATCAAATGTTTTTGCAGTGATCCTTGCACAAATAATATAAAAAGTATTGGAATATTGCCAATGGTAAAGAAAAAGCATCAGCGATACATACAAACTAATAAAATTAAAGGCTAATGCTAGTCTAACTAACTACTCTAAACTAAAACAATACCTAATACAATACCTCATACCTCTAATCTAACAAAATAACAACCCAGGACTTAATTAATTAAGAAGTATAGTTGAAATCTAGAAACTTACTTAAGAAAAGTTTCATTTGAATTTAAACTATTGATTGTAGGCTGGGTTGCGTTCTGACAACTGAACAAATTAAAAAAATCTGTTATTAGATAAAGATAGGAGACGATCACCAAGAAAAACATGATTGAATCAAACAAAATTCACTTTTGATATGTTGTTATGGCAACATGTTTACACCAAAACAATTAAAACTAATTTAGTAAAAACATTTTTTTTATATTAAAAACATGTTTAAATATAAAAATTATATGCATTTATTAAAAATTTAATAAAAAAATTTATAATTAACTTGTTTTCAAGTTTTTAATAAAAATACAAGTTTTAATTTCTTTGCTCTAAACAAATAACGATAATAAAAGTAATTGTTTGCCGATCGTGTGTGCTATTCATAAATAGTTAATCCTTTTATTTAATAAATTTTTTTATTAAAATGTTAAGACAAAAAATATTCATTAAAAAGTCGAAAAGAAACAATATTTTAAAAATAGTGCGTGAACATTATTTGCGCGAAGACATACCATGTGGGGTGGAGTTTTGCAGTCCGTGTAACATTCTGGTTGCCAATAATAATGATCACAACTTCCACCGAACGCCTGTCTTATTATCATCGTCTTCCGAAGGAATCAATGGCTTACACAAATCTGCAGCTCTTTTGATTCCTGACACGAATGTTTTCCTACATCAGGTTGTCTTTTTTTTCATTTACCATAAAATAAATTATGTAATAAATTAATAAGAGGATAATTCAAAAATCTCATTTCGTGGTCATTATTGCCACTGTACCAATAAAAATGTTCTTTGGCTAGAAAAAAATCAAGTGAATATGAGCGTTACCTTTTACAAGGTTCATTTTATTTTTAGGCTTCAGCGTTTAGTAAGTTTAGCATTTTAAAATATTTTATGTTGGTTTAAATATCATGTATCATAGCACATTTATTGTACTTTGTCACTTGTAAGTATCATTGCATAATGATGAAAAATTGCTGTTGTAAATGCCGCAACATTCTTCAAAATATTTTTAGCAGCTGTATGTGTTATAAAAATGACAGGTTCGACTCATAACGGTTTGAGACTAAAAATGAGGATTGATTGATATGGTAAATGACATGAAATGTGTTTTATGTGGTTAGTCAGCTACGTACATTATAAATTACTGGAAGTCTTCCATACGGGCGTCACTGGCAAAACATCTTCAGTGCAAATCCTAAATAGAATTTCATATGAAACCGTTTGTCTACTAATTTCAAAATATATATTGTTTCATAATACAACGGGGGATTGTCTGTCTTTCCTGTAGGATACATAACTGTTGATTGTGGTTAATTCATCAGGATGGTGTGGCTTCAACCAAGATTCAGTGATGATGATTATATCTGGGTCTAGGTGATAAGCATCACATCTCAAATGTTCAAAGGCATGGGGTTTAACAACGCTAGTGACACTTAAGATGGGCTCTATATTTTAAATTGGGAGAGGATTTTTTAATATAGTGTAAAACTAAGTAAAAACTTGACAAAGTAAAACTATTAACAAGTCTGCATTTAAAAATACAAGTTTTTCTTCTCAAATAGAATAGTTGATGATTAGAGTAGCCAGCCATTGTCTGTTGTAGAAGTTCGAAGTGTTGAACTATGTTAGGCAATTTTTATGGTGATAATAATTCTTATTGTGTTTGCCGATTTAATTTCTATCATTCATTGTGTTTTTCGTTTGTTTAGATTTGTATTCAATGCGTTTATTCATGTGTTTGTGTGTGTGGATGTATGCATCTTTACATGTGTTCTGTTGATTGTGTTTCTTGATCATTCGCATATTAAACATTGTGTGCTCAATTGTTTTGTTAATTATCTTACTCTCCTAATTTCATTGTATTATTATTTAATATACTTTTCTTTTTTCTGCAAAGGGTCCGCTTGTGCTTTTTTCTATAAATAAATAAATTAAATAGATTTGAGAAATTGCTAAAATCTAGCATTGAATAAAAAATGTGATTAAATTACGGAATTAATAGACAAAATGGAGGTTAACCCATGGAACATGATTAATCTGGAGCACGATTAATCTCACCATTGGAAAAACTCAAATCTTATACTAGATGCGATGACGACTATAAATAAAATGTAAAATAATCACCAGATGGATGTGATGGAGCACTCTCTGATTGTCAACGTTGTCGTGCTGCAAACTGTTCTGCAAGAGGTGAGGGATTTTCTATTTGCACATTTTATGATTCGTTTCATAGTTTGGTCTTTTTTTTATCACTCACTACAGTATTTAGGTTTTTGTTTTGTTTGTCACAGTAGTGGTCATGTTATGTTTCCTTCAAATAAGTCTTTCACCTGTTTCATTTATTACTTTCATTTTTATCATATTTATAATTTGTCTAAAATTTTTTAAAATTACTGAATGTAACACTTATTCAAACATATTGAAGTAAATTTCTATTGATTATGATAGTTTTAATCTATCCAATCAGGTTCGTCACAGAAGCTCTCCGGCCTACAAGAGACTCACGGAATGCATTGCTGAACCTAAAAAAAAGTTCTTCACGTTCGTCAATGAATTTCATAAGTTGGTTCAGCTTTCTGTTTCTTCAACTTTCATTTCAAATTTTTATTCTTTTCCAAGTTAAAATCCTATCCACAACTTTGCTATGACTGCAAAGGTGAACAGATAAAATCACGTTTTATGGTTTTCAAAGAAACTATAAGAATTGAAAATCATTTTGAATGCCATTTTTGGTTCGGAAAGCTTGTAGGTACATATTTAAAAAAATGGCAAAATAAAATTTCTGTCTGTTGTTGAAAAGCTGTTAGAATTGTGTCAGTCACCACAATTTATGCTTTGTGAACGAGACTTGTTGATAACATGAAATAAAATTTTCAGAGACACATATGTGGAGCGCGAGCCGAAGGAATCGGCAAATGATAGAAACGATCGAGCCATTCGGCAGGCAGCATTGTGGTACCAGCAACATTTGAAGCAGCAGCAACAACAAAGTCTAGAGGATGATGATTGCAATGAGGATGTTGTCGTCATCCTGCTAACAAATGATGTTGAAAATATGAAGAAAGCAAGGAGTGAAGGCATCATTTCATACACAGGTATTGCTATTCTGTTCTATGTAAAGTTCTCTAATTGAATAAGCTCATTGTTGCTAGTGGTTCAACTTGTTTTATGTTTTACCTTGTACTGTTCATATGTTGACAGCATTTTAAATATGCATCAATCTTTTTGCTGTTCACGTTGGGATATTGTCAGAAACTACTGTTTAAAATGAGTTTCATTGAAATAGTTTTTTTTTTTTGAAACAAACTTGGGATTGCCACGTTGTTGCTGATGAGAAGTATTTCAAGAATAAATCCTCTGGTCACTGATGTTAATTAACGTAATATTTAGAAATTTGTGATATCGATTGATTTTTTAAAAAATTGTAGCTTGAATTTTTCAAGCTATTGATTTATAAAAATATGATTATCAGTACACGAATACATAAGCAACATGATGGGCTGCACTGATCTGAAGGACAGGTTGGCTGCCATTCAAGAAGACATGGTTGGTTTCAGTTTATATCAACATTTATGTTCCAACATTTCCACATAGTTGAAATACACCATACAACCTGTTGCATCTCGATAGGAAGTTGATGGGAAGGAGAAGGACTTGTTCCCAGAGCATCTTCCTCTCTCTGCCATACAAAAAGGTTATTTATTGCTTGTGATTTATTTTATTTGTTCAATTATTTAGTTATTTAATTATTTTTTCATTAACTTATCTATCTATTCGTTTATTTCATTTAATAATTTATACCAATTTTTGTAACTACTTCGTTTGCTGTACCATTATTTGCATCTGTCAAAGTTTCAATTTTTAGAGAATAAAAAACTTTTTTAATTTGGCTTGATCATTTTTAATCATATTCCTTAAAGCATTTTAAGTCTTCAATTTTTTGGTTGGATAGCTTTTTGCTGGTCAAGCCAAAGTTCAATTTTCAATGGCAGATCTATCAATGCTGTAGAAAGTAATAAGAGCTGACGTTTATTTAATTTGAAGGTTTGAAGAGCGGTCAGTTGCTGCAGGGAACGTTTCAGGCAAGCAGGGAGAACTACTTGGAAGCAACTGTGAACATCCATGACTCCGAGCAACAAGTCAGTCAGCTGTTTTTTTTGCTTCATCATTTCTTCCATCCGTCTTGCGTTCATCTTTCTCTACTTATTTATTCAAGTTTAATTTATGCTGAGGTAGAAACGTTAATGCAAAGATTTGTTTCATAGAAAATTTTTTACAATTTTACTTAAAATGATGAATGTAAACTAAAAAAAATCCTGTAAAATGTCAGTAAAGGACAGAGAGGAAAGTAAGTGAGTTGTTGGATCATAACAATTAAATCAGCCAACAAGTTTTTACTTTTATCAAAAAAGAATGACACTTCATGATTAAATTTTTTTTTATTCTTATTACTAATCAAACTCTGTCAAACGCAAAGAAAGTAGCAACATAAAAGGTCAGCTGAAATGATGAAAATAAAACTATGAATATAAAAAGTATGAGTTGCATTCAGTTGGTATAAAATAATATGAAAAAAATATTGGTGACAGTATGTGGATGAAATGAAGTTATAAAATAAGTATGAGTGCTAATGTAAAGCGTGATGATATAATGGTGATGATATAATGTAATTATAAAATATATATTAAAGGTAGTGAAAAAAAAATTATAACATTGTTTCTCATTCACTGACACAAATACAAAAATTGATATGATGAGTGGAGAAATTATTAAAGAGTTTATTTCATTGGATGAGCGTTTGATTAGCAGCCAAATTATCATTTCTAATTAACTCAACTTCATCATTGTCCACCTGTCAGGTGTTCATTCAGGGCCGCTTGAATTTGAACCGGGCGGTGCACGAAGATGTCGTGGTTGTCCGCATGCTGCCACAATCCCAGTGGTCCCACCCGAGTTCACTGATCGTTGATGACGAGGGGGAGAAACCGGATGAGGAGGATGATGATGATGATGATGATCTACAGGTTCTCTTACTGAGTGTGACGATGACTGTCGTGTTAATAATGACGGTGATGCTGATTGTGAGGCTGATTTTGATGATTGTAATGATAACGATGATGATTGTAATGATTACGGTAATGATTGCAAGGATTACAATAATGATTGTAGTGATTAAAATGATGATTGTAATGATAACGATGATACATTTATAGTGATACATATATAGTGATAAAAATGATACATTTATAGAAGAAGCTGGCGAGAACTATGGACAAACACAAAGTACCCACTGGTCAAGTTGTTGGAATTCTGAAGAGGAATTGGAGGCAGTACTGTGGCATTCTGCAAAAGTCACTCATCAGAGGGGTGAGTAGTTCAGAGTTGAGTTTGGTGTCGTAGTTTTGTTATTATGTTCATGAGAAATAATGTAAGATTACCTCATCATCTGAGACTATTTAATTTGGAGTTATCAAATTATTTTGAGAAAATCGGTAAGTTGACCTTACAGTTGACTTTATAGACCATTCCAATTTGGATGGAGTTACAGGTTCTGTTTTTTATCTTCCTGTAACTACTGCAGCATTTGCTATCTCTAATGTGCTCTTTGGTTAGCTAGCCTTGGGTGAGATTCAGTCCTTTGCTTGTTTTTGTTTGTTTCAGTGAAGTTCTTGCTTGTAGGATTTCCTGCTGCAATCACTCTCATTTTTTAATGTTAATGTTCTTTTATTCTAAGCTATTATAGTTTATTTTTGGAATGAAATTGTTTCACAGATGACGAGGCACTTATTTGTTCCTGCCGAAAGAAGAATACCAAAAATTCGAATAGAAACAAGACAGGCGGAACAATTTGAGAACCAGAGAATAGTTGTGGTCATTGATGGGTGGCCCAGACATTCTAGGTACCCTCAGGTCTGTTGGTGGTGGGTTGGTTGGTTAGTTTGTTATTGAATTGGCTGCCTGGCTGGTTGGTTGATGGTTGGATGGATTTTTGGTATGCAGTTGAATAGTGTAAAGTTGGATGTGTGGATGGGGTTTGATGTCTATGAATGCAGAGGTTGGCGAAATTGTGGTGGTTAAAATGCCCATGTACAATGTTTGCTACTGAAAGAAAGATGAAGAGAGCTGATGCATGTGAGGCAGACTTTAAACAGACTTTTATTACCTTTTATTATTTACAACGAATTTGATCAGGGCCACTTTGTGAAGAGGTTGGGAGAGATCGGTGATAAGAAGACGGAGAATGAAGTTCTCCTGTTGGAGCACGACATCCCACACTCCACATTCTCCGAATCCGTACTTGCCTGTCTGCCTGCTCTGCCCTGGATCATCACTGCTAAGGTACTGGTTGGTGGATAGGTGGAATGTTTCGATGCTCGGATAAATGAGAGGGAAGATTGATAAATGATGGAATAAATGAGTAAATAGATGGATGAAAGAATGCTTCATTTGTTTTTAATTTCGGTTAGTTAATGGGTAGGTGAATAGAGCCGCTGCTGGCCGAATCAAAATTTAACTTACTAATTATTATCTTTCTAATAGAATTTTGGTAGATTTTTTGTTTCTAATAAACTTTATTTTAAATAGCTTCTAACCTTTTTAACGATGGTCCAACTTTTTAAGCATTCAATTGTGAGAAGCAATTTTGTGCATTAGTTTAAATATGTCCACGCGAAATCACATGAATCGCTTAATGTTTAATGCAACTGGAGAGTACAAGTTAGATTGATACAACTTTGATTTTTCCACCTCGTCAGGATTTATCGACTCGCTTGGATCTGCGAGAGACGTGTGTGTGCAGCGTCGACCCGCCCGGATGTACGGACATTGACGACGCCTTGCACTGCAAACAACTCGCCAGTGGAAACTATGAAGTCTGTTTTAGTCTTCTTGTCTTTCTTGTTGTAATAATTCTTGATTGTCTAACAATTTTATTAAAATTTTTTCATCTGATGTTATTTAAAGTTTTTTTAGATTGAGTTAGATTGAGAGCTGTGAGAATGTTGAAAACAATTTTTTAGTAAATTTTTAAATCACATTTTGGTAATCATTCATTATTATTTTTCTCCATTCACCACTATTATGGAAATAAAATGATTTGACATTACAGCAGAGTATAATTACTTTGCACTGCACTGAAGAAAATGTAATAACATAACATAATTTATATATAATGGGCTCAGACTGAAGACTAAAACCATTCCAATGTTTTACAAAGAAAATGTTGTTATTATACGCCACACACACACTCTCTCTCTCTCACACACACACACACATACACTCAAGCACATACACACTCACAGGTCGGCGTGCACATAGCTGATGTTTCGCACTTCATTCGGCCTGGGACGGCTCTGGACTCGGAGGCAGCCAGCAGAGGAACGACTGTTTATCTCATTGATAAGGTTGGTTGCGTGGCGGTTATTGAGGAGAGGAGGATGTCAGTTGTAGTGCTAGAGTCCGGTGTCGCATGTGTCAAAAAATTGTATTGCGTTTTTATTTCGTTATGTTTATCAATTTGAAATTTACTTCAGAAACTACTATAACTGATTTTTTATTTGAAATAAACTGCTATTAGTTATTACAAGTTGTTATTAATACTTTCATAATTAGAAAAAATAATATAATGTGGAATACTTATATTTAAATTGTGCAACCGTGCAGAGGATTGACATGGTGCCTGAACTCCTAAGTTCAAATCTGTGTTCACTGAGGGGTGGGGAGGAAAGGTTAAGTGAATTCATCATTCCCATCTCATCACTCCCACCTCATCACTCCCACCTCAGCACTCCACCTCATCACTCCCACCTCAGCACTCCCACCTCATCACTCCAATCTCATCACTCCCACCTCATCACTCCCACCTCATCACTCCCGCCTCGTCACTCCCACCTCATCACTCCCACCTCATCACTCCCACACTATTCCATTAGGTTTGCATTCAGCGTTTTATGGGAGATGACCAGTGAGGCAAGAGTGGTTAGTTGCAAATATACAAAGTCCATCATTAAATCTCAGGTTTGTAATATCCATAATCATCACCTCAACCATCGTCGTCTTCATTATCGTAATTATTAAAGTAGCCACGGTCATCTTCGTCATTATGAACGTTGGACGGCTTCATCTTCATCACTGTCAGACTCGGGTTTAAGATTTTTCGTTAACCGTTTTTCTCATTCACGTGAGTGGATAAATGAAAAAATAACTTTTGATTACTTTTGATGATGATCTAAAAAAGTTTCATCTTATTGAAGCATAATGATGTGGCATACAACTGCTGCCACCTACCTACAACAATGCTGCTGGTGAATTACTACTGCTACTGCTAGCTACTGCATCTTCTATTAGTACTGTTATAGCTGTTGCTAACACAGCTGCTAATGCCGCCACTTCAACAACCACCATCACTACTGTTACTAACCTAGCCGTTAATGTTGCTACTTCAACAACCACCATCACCGCAATCATTTCATCCAGGCGGCTCTGACGTATGCCGAGGCACAGATGAAGATAGATGACCCGACGCAAACTGATGACGTCACTGAAGGGCTGAGGAGGTTGAACAGACTTGCGAAAATTTTGAAGCAGAAAAGAGTTGAAAACGGGTCAGTCAGTTTGCGTTTTTGATGGGTGTTTACATTGTTTTCAACAGGTCTTTATTCTTGCGTTTGACAAGCTTCTATTCATGTCCAGTTCTAGCGATCAATGACCATCTCAATTCCTTTCCCACCTGACCATACCATTCTTCATTATTCACATTATATTAATACGCACATGGCTGCCTTTAATTAAATTCTTCTACTTTCGGATGTGGCAGTACTTTAAATTCTGATGTCAACCACTAAGAGTTATTTTCAGCAGTTTTAAACTATTTTAAACTTCTCATCGTATTGCACATTATATTAAAAATTCTGCTTTTGAAGTAAGTTATGAGGTTGGAGCGGTTATTATTGATCAGTTGCAAATCACAAGTTACGTTGGCCACATACTGTTGAAACATCATTACCATCGATCAATCAATCAATCATAAATTCTTTTTAATTTCTCAAGTTCTTGTTGAGGTGGATAGCGTCCAGCTCTTTCGCCCTTTTTCGAAATTCTTCCGTATTGGCCAGTTTTACTGAATTCAGTGTTCCTTCACCAGTCCACTCTGTGATGTCATCCATTCTTTTTTCATTTTTTCCAACCTTCCAGTTTTTCTTCCTCGTTAGTGCAATTTCAATGAGTCTGTCATGCAATTTTACAATTATGTCCAAATAGTTTTAGTTTTGTATCTCAATCCTTTTTGCTTTCTAAATTGTATTCATATGATTTCGTTTCTTACTTTCTGTTACCAGTTGATTTTCTACCATTTTCTGCTGTGTTTCCGTTCAAATTCTTTTAATATGTCTCTCTTCATCCCTCTCTCTTTGTATATTTCTATTATTTCCAACTGTGTTTTGGTTCACGTATAACCACTTTCCATCTGGCGGGTCATGAAATATCATCGATTGCTAGCATTATCACCATCATTATCACCATCATTATCATCATCATCGTCTTCATCATCATCATCGTCTTTATCATCATCATCACCATCGTCTTCATCATCATCATAGAGCCTTGACGTTGGCCTCTCCTGAGATTCGATTCCACATGGACAGTGAGACGCACGATCCTATTGATGTGCAGGCCAAGGAGTTGAGGTAGGTGGTGATTATAGTTGTGGTGGGGATAATGATGATCGTGAGGTGTGTGTGTGCGCGCGCGTGTGTGTATGTGTGCGCGTGTGTGTGTGTGTGTTGTGGGCGTGAGATGAATGCATGTTCGTAAGTGATAAGTGCATCGGCAACATCGGTCTACCACACGTCAGGGAGACCAACTCAATGGTCGAGGAGTTCATGTTGCTGGCCAACATATACACTGCTAAGAAGATCTTTGAAGACTTTCCAGACTGCTCCGTCTTGAGGAGGCACCCGCCACCCCCCGTCAACAACTTCGAGCCCCTCGTCCAAGTGGCCAAGTTGAAGGTCATTCACGCTTTATTTAGTTTGTTGTTTCAATTTCTAAATTTGGTAATTGTAGACTTTTTTATGAATACAATTATTAACTTTTTAATTTTTCAACTCACCACATGAATTGATGGTTAATCACGATGGCCACTGGTGAATATAATTTCTTCTTCGTGGGACTCTCTTGGTCCACTTAAAAATTATTTCATCACATTGTATTATTATTAAATATACTATGGTCACGTGAACAATACAATTTTTTACTCCCGTTACACAATTATAACTCCGTACACGCACTTTTGAAATTTGAGATTGAGTCACCTTCTTGCTATTTTCAATAACTTTTAAACTCTGGAAAGCGCTGCACAAATTCCTGGTGAGTTGGTTCAGACGGTAGAAGGCCGCATCTTGCGGTGCTGTCGTTGAGTGGTTGCCTGTTCCAACATGAATGGCCGTCATAGTTGCACTATAGTTTAATTACAAGGAATGATATGTAAGCAGTTGGGAGTTTGTCAGATTTGCTTAATAAAGAAACATTAATTATACATAATTTCTTCAGCGTTTATTTTATACACTGGCATTAACTGAGACATTTCAATTTGAATCTGGCACCGTACAGGGCTTCCACGTTGACACCAGTTCAGGAAAGAAACTTGCTGACTCACTTGAAAGTGCAACAACATCTGACAATCCCTATTTCAACACCATGTTGAGGATCCTGGCTACCAGGTTGTCTCTATGAGCTTATGTTGTTGTTGCTGCTGTTGCTGTCGTTGTTGTTGTCAGACTGCTGTCGTTGTTGTTGTGGTAGCTGATGTTGTTTATGATGTTATGCTGTTGTTATTGCAGTTACGCTGTTGATGTATTGAAGTGATGTTCGGTGTTGTGTAATGATGAGAATTATGATTGTTATCTGGTATAGGTTGAAGATGATCTTGATCATTGTTGAAGGCTGTTATATTTGGTCGTTGTTCGTCAATGGCTGTTTTTATGATTTTTATATGGTTGTTATGATTATGATTAGGCATCTCTGTACCTAGTTATTGTTATTGTTGTTGCTGTGGACGTGGTTCCTGTTATGTCGCTGAGTAGTTTCGATGTTTTCTGACCAATATATATTTCCAATGCTGACCAGGTGCATGATGCAGGCTGTCTACTTCTGCAGTGGCACACTCTCCCAGGCGGACTTCTTCCATTATGGACTCGCCTCACCGATTTATACTCACTTTACATCACCAATCAGAAGGTAATCAACTGTTCATCATCATTGTTCATCTTCATTCCTTGTTTTCTTGTTATTTTCGTGTTAATTTCACGTTTACGTTCATCTTCATGTTCATCTTCACCTTTCCTCATTTATATTCATTGTTCATCATCGTCGTTCATTGTTCATCATCGTCGTTCATAGTTCATATTTATTGTTCATCCTTCAACGTTCATCTTTAAACTTTAAATATAATACAGCACAATATTAACGTTGCTGCATTCAAAACGTTTCCAATTTGAACGTCCCTCCAGATATTCCGATATTTTGGTGCACAGATTGTTGGCAGCCAGCATTGGAGCAGACGCGTCCTATCCTCAACTTCTTGACAAGATCAAAATTCAGGTGCGTATGTGAACTGCAATGAACTGCGTGTGTATGTGTGTGTTGTTGTTGTTGATGATGATGTAGTTGAGGTGGTATGTTGCTTTGCAAGATGTGATGAAAGCTCTAATACATATAGAAAGTTTTAACGGATTGATTTTTTTCTTGTAAAACACCAATGAAAACCTTTGCACACACAGAATGTATGCAAGAATTTGAACTTCCGCCATCGTATGGCCCAGTATGCAGGCAGGGCGTCCGTTGCCCTCCACACTCAGGCTAGTTATTCACTCTTGTTACTTTAATATTAATTAAATAATTTATTAATTAACTATAATTAATTATTATTGAATTAATACAATTAATTTATTGTATTCATTCATTTCGATGTTTAATTTTGTTTTTTAATTGTTCTTGTACATTTTTTCTTCTCGTATCTAGGGTGGCCATACGAGCTCATGTTAAGCTTCTGGTCTCCTGGCTCTGCCTAAATAAATTGAATAGATAAATAAACAAGTTTTATGCTGCTTAATTACAACTGGCGTTGCATTAAAACGCGCCTGTAAATAATTTTGAATGTCCACTTTTGAGTGCCTGTGCAGCTTTTTCAAATATAGATATCATTTTGCAGAATTTCGTAATTGATTTTTGTCAACAGGCTCGATTTTGAATATTATCAATGGTATCCATTCATAATCATGTCATTCGAATTAGATCTTCTTCAAGAATCGTGTTTTGGACGAAGAAGGTTACGTCTTATTTGTGAGGAAGAATGCTCTGCAAGTCCTCATCCCCAAGTACGGCCTGGAAGGCACCATCTTCCTTGACAAGGGAGAAAATAAACTGGGGGAGTACAATGAAGAGGTTTTTCATCTCTTTATTTTCAAACATTTTCTTTTTTTCCAAATTGTTGTTTTTGATGTTCACTCATACATGATGTATGTATACACACGATGTATGTATACAAATGTTGTGTTTATTTTATTTATATATATATATATATATATATATATATATATATAGGAAAACAGTCAGAGATTTGGGAGCCATGTGATGAGGATGTTTGACAAGGTGATTGTGCAGGTGAGCATAGATGCATCTAACATACAACACCAGAAACTTATCCTCAAACTCGTCTATCCAAAGGTTAGAATTTTTTGTATGTGAACAATCTTATGACATTATGCAACACTCAAGTTTTTTTGGATACCAGCTTCACTCTGCGTGCCTTGCTACGAATTCAGCAAAATTTACCAACTTCAAAACACAAAAATTCAGTCCTCCCAATGTGCACCGAAATTTCACCAAATCTCGGTGAACATCTGTATTTCGACATCAGGAATTAAATTAATTATTCGCCAATGGCCTCTCAATTTCCACGATAACTTTTCCATGTTCAAATCTACTAACATTTGTAAGGCAAGCATTTGCAGTGGCGGATCTTGTGTGTGAGCAGTACTTTTATTAAAAGTCAGCAAAACTCATTGTTTATTGTTTTATGACATAAAACCTTTATGATCACAAACAGACCAAAATTTGATGTGATAAGTAAAAAAAGGTCGCCAGCCTAATTTTGAATTTTGGCCACCATCACAAAGTTGGCCCCGGTCAAAGTTGCCTAGACCCGCCACTGTGCATTTGTCTATTATAAATGTATTAGCGTGTGTATGTATGTTTAACATTCAAACACTTTATAAGTGAAGGTCAGCCAAATGGATTTTATGAATTAAATCCTATTTCTATTATGTAAAAGTAACGAAATTTGTTAACACACAGATTGATGGATTAAGTGTTCCTTCAGTTAAAGAATTAAACTGCAAGATGGAGGTTGATAAAAACAAAGACAAAAACAAAAAAGAGGATGCCTTGGATACAAGCTGGTCTAGCGTCGTTAAAAAATGACCGTGTCAAATATTGTTTAAATCTTTTTTTTTATTTGAAATAAATTTTGTATTTTTTGCGTTTTTGTTTATGCTCGTTTTCGACAAATATTGAAAGATTGTCTGCAACATAACTTGAGACGAATATTGATTTAGAAGTAGAAAAATATCTCCTTAGGTACAAAAACAAAGTTACTTATGGAAAGCTGGTTTGGGACGCATGAAATTTTTGTAAAAGGACCATAGAACTCAACTTTGACGGGGGTGTGTTTTGCGGCTTGCCTAATTACATTCCATAACAGCGTGCCGTGCGTGGGTTCACTCAAAAGTTTGCGAATGTGTCAATAAATGGAATATCAACGCTAATGCTTCTAGTAAAGTTTATGGTGAAAACAAGAAAATCTTATTGTGACGGAAAGGCTAAATGCGTGTTGTCTAAGAAGTGTAGAAGCAATAAACACAGCGTGGTAGTTTAGTTTTCAAGAAGTGTAGATTATTGCACAACCAATTCCATGTTTTAGAAAATTGTTATGTATCAATAGTTATGGCAGTCAAAACCTACGTCTCTTGGTTAGTCTGTTGGTTCGGCCTATAATAGTTTGCTGATTAATTTTAATACATTGCGGTTTTGATTATTATTATTATTGTTTTGTATATATTGACAGAGGTTTAATTTATATTGCTTTTTTTTCATTTAATAAAGTATATACTGAAATTTGGCTTGGCTCTATTAATTCATCCAAGACAGCGAATGTTGAAAAAGACTTGCTGACAGTTGACAAGGTCCGTGTTTTACAAGCCCTAAGAGGGCCCATTGTAGTGATGCGGCTCCCGACCAGGAGAAAGTCCCCAAGATGAAGGCTCAGGTGTATATTAGTATGCGAGCGCGGTTCGCGTGGCTCAGGATTCGAATGTCGTTTAAGAACGTTTTTCATTCCAGCAACATATGAGATAGTTAAGAATAGTGTTATTAAGTCCGACGAAGCCGGAAGATTTTTAAAGCCGATGTAGGCGGTTCAAAAATTAAATTTAAAGACAAAAATTTTTTTGTCCTGCAAGGTTTTTCTATTTTTAAAATTCATGACAGAGTAAAATATGTTATTTCACGGTCCTAAAAAAATTGAGTAACAGCAGCAGTTCAAGTAAAAATAAAGTGTCCCATCTTCCTATGGATGTACAATTCTATTTATAAGATAACTTTGATGGATTTACAATTAATAAATTCACAATAGAAGTAAAATACGAAATTGCAGTTTCTGTAAAGATTGTAAGTACGTTTTTAATCAACACTACTGCCATCCGGTTGTGCGCCGTCAACGTTGCTGCCGATGATGTTATAATTGAAGTTGTCTGTGTTGCTACCACTGTCCACTCTTTGATTTCTCGAAGCATCGATCTTGTTCAAACATTTGCGGATGAGGTCTGAGACGATGTTCCCGTAAATGTTCCCAAAAACAGTTTTGTTGTAAGAGACCAAAGTAGAAAACATCTTGACAAGTGAGTTGATTTCCTCCGTGAAAAGAGAATAACCTCGGGGTATCTGAATGTCCTTTCTATCTGATATTACCTCGAAGAAAAACTCACACAAACGCTGGCCTGTAGAAGTTTATAAGTCCACTCAAGAACATTTCTTAAATAAAAGTACTAATTGATGAAAAAAAGGAGTTAACGTTGAAAACAAGTTAAACATTTTAATAAAAAAAGTTTTTATGAGTTAAAAGTTAAATCGAAAAAATCATCGTTGTTGGTGCTTAACGACACACCCTGTCTAAAACGTGCTAAAAATAATCTAAAATCACCAGAATCAATTGCAGGCCAGTCATTTTTACTGAGTGACCTGTGGCCACTCTTTCCATGAATCTCTCCAGCTAGTGCCGATGTGAATTCAAGTTTAACCAACCCGACTATAAGAGTAATTCTTACTCTATTTCTATTTTTTGTCCGCGATTTCTTGACCTAATACCTTTTACAATTCAAATAATCTTAATCCGCCGTAAGAAGACATCCCATGCGCATTTCAAAATATTGCATATAAATGCATGAAGCAATAATGATGGTGATAATGAGCATAGTAGTAATAACCCATTAGTCTGAAGACAGGAGGGCATGGTGTGTTTGGATCGAGGATGTTATCAAGTTGATCTTTCAACATTGTTTCAACATCTTCAGACATCTTTGGGAGTTTCTGCTCGTTCATCAGCCAGTCGTTCAGTTCCTTCACGATCTGTTCACGAATGCTGATGGCTGTTTCTTTCACTTGGCTGATGGATGACAGATGCAAATTTTATTCTCTTTATAAAGAAATGATATTTTTATCAATTAAAAAATAATTTTTGAAAAGATTTTCTCTTTAAAAACATAATAAAAATTCTTTTAAGTTATAAATATTTTAAGTTTTTTCAATTTGTTTTATACTTGACTCTGTCAGGTGAGTGGGCAATAATTTCAACAAACAACCCCATTCGAATGAAGTAAAAAATCATTTATGCTTTAAAAAAACTTTAATGGGAGTGAAAAATGAAAATCGAAATATTGAAACTAATAACCATCTTAAAAATCTTGTTGTCTGGGAATAAAACTTACCTTTTCGCAACATTTTCTGCCAAAATGGAGATTTGCGACTTCAGTTTACTTTTGATGTTGTCACCAAGTGGCCTACCTAGGCAGGAAGCTGACACCACCAGGAGAGATGAGGTGAGCACCAACGCTCCAAACTTGTCCTTCTGCTCGGCCACTCTTTTGTAGTCCAACAATAATGTCTGCAAATCAATTTTTGGTTTTTATTTAATATTCTTCTTTTCATATATTTGTCATTCAATTATTTTCATTTGCTGTTGCTTTTGTAAACGTTAGCAATGAAATGCTTTTGTTAACTGTAGGTATCTTTTCGAAACAATTCTTCAAGTTGCATGACAAGCAGGTGAATAATTATATTAGGATAGTTTTTGAAGTTGAAAATATGAGATGTGGAAGCAGTTGCAGATGAGTGCAGCTTTTTGTTGAATGCGTTTATTATTTCTTTTCATGCAACAGTGGATGAATGCGGTGAATAAATAGCTGTCAAATGACTTTATGCTGATTTATAAGTATGTATATTGGAGTCGTCGTAACCTTTCCAGCAGTTTTTGAAACAATAAAAAATTTTGTTTTAAAATTTTTCAAAATAATTGTTTGGTTTCCATTCCAAAAAATAATAAAAAAAACTGAACTTTCACGACGAGTTGACATCAAGCTAATTTCAACTTTAAATGAATTCTCTCAACAGATAGACAATGCCTCATTCACACAAACCTAAATATTAAATAACGAAACCTACCTCTGGAGTTTCAAAAGTGTTTGTTAGTAGACTAAGATAGGCATTGTTCAATATGATGTTTACGACGTTTGCCGATGTAAGGAAATCGCGAACAAGTTCTGCTTCTTCCGCAGTTACTGAACTCACTGTTGTTGTTGTTGATGTTGCAGGTGGCGACAGTGTGTTTGTGGATGTTGTTGATGTTTCTACTGCTTTTTTTAACTGAACTTGTTTGGCCAATGTATTATTAAAACTGTTATTCAACCAAACTTTCGTGCACAACAAACCATCAACTCCATTATCTGAAAAATTTTTAAAAATAAACAAAAAAATTAAAGCGTTTATTTAAAAATATATTTGTTTATAATTTTCTCTTCAGTATTTCTCAGTGTCAGGAAACAGACGTCAAAGAAGGCATCACACTGATGGCATGTTATAGGTGGGGATCTCTCTGCATTCAAACCCGGTCACTACAAGTGAAATGCTGAATTAATTGAAGCCTATCAGCTTGAAGCAGCTTAAACAGTATCTAGAGTAAAAAAGAGTGCAGCCAGAGAAACAGTTGCGGTGGAAGTCCAACGTGAACCTCTGTAAGGCCATGACATGACATGGTTCATGCTGACCGCAGAAGTTTTAAAAAGAAGGTTAGTGGGAAAAACATAAGGTTCCAAACTAAAAAAAAAGACTGGCGCACAGATTGCTACTAGGCAACTGTAAACTGCATGCAACATGTACAACTCTCCAAGACTGAATCAGGAGAAGAACAGTGTGAAGTGAATGCAGGCCAAATCTCATCTAATTTATAATGTTTCAATATTTAATTAGTTAACAGCGTTGAAGTACAAATTTGAGAATTAAATTCTTTCTGATTAAAATACTTCAATATCATTGTGAATTCTCTTTTAAGCACAATTAAAAAAATAAATAACATAATGTCTTCATGTTGTTAATATGTGTAGACAATTATATTTAGGAAGTCAACATAATTTGAATGCAAAAATATCTAATTTTTTAATCAAAACAACCTAGTTTGATTTTCAAAATGTCGAGAAACTTGGCAAGCTCGACTTCGGCAAAGTGTTCTTTCAAATACGGCCGTATGATTTTGATGTGGGCGTTAGCATGGTCGATCAGCATCAGCTCCATCACTTTGTAAATTTCTCTGAAATTATCCATCCAAATACATGCATCATGCACTTACAAAATGTAAATACCACATCGTCTATGATATGTAATTATGAAGAAATAAATTTTCAATAAATATTCTAACAAAAAGTAAAGTTAAAACAGAGACAATAGTGAGTTTATAACTCCACTCGCCCATTTTACATTTAAAAAAAAATTGAGGAGTAACAAATTTTTAGAAAAACAATGCAAAACAAATTTTTCATAAACTAATCAAACTGAAAAGAAAATATGAAGAAGACAAATATAGATGAAAGTCTTCAAAAATGAAAAGATAAAATAAAAATTGATCGACACGCAGCAGACCTGTAGAGTGAAACAACATCAGAGATTGTTCTCAACCTCATGACCTCCTCATCTCGAGCCGGTGCACAAATCTTGGCCATGATGTCGATAATGAACTGCGAATAGGTTTGCAGATCAAAAGCCAAATGATCAAGTTTTTGCTTGATGAGATCAAGATCGAGCACTTCGTCGACCAGCAATTTCAGTGAGTTATCAGTTGTCGGCAGCATTTCGGCAAGTTGCTGGTGTACATTGTTGTTTCATTTGTAAAACAGAACAACAAATATTAAACTTATATCACTAACAAATTTGCAAAATAGACAAAGAATTGGTTTAAAGAGATGAAAATGACAACTAACCCCCTTAATCTCCCCAAGCAAAGAGAGAGCTTGAGTGTAGGTGGGAGGTGTTTCTGACAACTGTTCCTCTAATATGTCCCAGAATGCTTTCGTCATCACTTCTTTTACTCGAGCTTCCAAACTGGTTCAAATACAAAAATATTTATCTTATAGTTGAATTTATTAAGCAAAGGTAAAACGAAGCTTTTGCACTATGAATAAATCGACTACAGACTGTTATATGAATCATTTAAATTAAATAAGAACATATAAAATAGCTTAACTATGTAAATTGTGTATAATAACATAGTTATAACATGCCAAATAATCTACCAATTTTAAAATACAATGAAATGCAATTTAAATATTAATAAAATATAACCAAGAAAACAACAAAAAAATATTAACACGTTTGGACTTTGGAAAGATTCAGGCAATGCAAAATTATCATCTAATGCAGTTTCGTGGGATATGAACATGCTTTCCATGCGCTCCCTCATCTTCATCGCATCATCCATGTTGAAAAATAGCAAGGGAGATGCTGTGCATATGTTTGTTTGTTTGTTTGTATGTGTGTGTATATATTTGTATGTAAGCATCTAGAAGACAGGTTAATTAATAATTTAATTTAAGGCAAGAAAAGATTTTTTTTGGAAAAATTTTCAATTTTATGTTTAGAAGTTACATATATTCTATTTATATGTTGAAATAGTTCACAACAAATACCTGAAATTTCATTGATCAATGGAATGTTTTCTGAACTGGCCAACAAATTTACAATTTCTTTTGAAAAACCTTCTGCCATTATTTCTCTGTATTATTGTAAACTTGAAAAAATTAAATGAATGAATAACATAATAATTGAACATATTAAATTTTATTTTATGCCAACAAAGTCTAAAAAACTAAAAACACATGCAAGGGAAGTAATAAGTGCAAGCAAATTTAAACTTTATTTGAAATTATTTACATTTTCAATATTTTTTTTACAATTTTTATAAACTAATAAAGTTTTTAAGATAATACTTTTAATTTTTATGTATTATAGAAAATGCTACAATAATAAATTTAGTATTATTTTAATCAGCAAATTTTGCTTTTTAAGAAAAAGTTTATATAAAAAAAAAAATTTTTTGTTAAATCTTGCGACCTGCTAATAGAAAAATATAAAATAAAGTTTATTTGATTTTTTATTTAAAATTTTTATGAAAAAAATCTAAATTACTAACTTTAAATTATAATTTTAAGTTTAAAACTTTTTTAATCTTATTTAATTAATTAAAATTTAAAATTATTTACTTTTTTAAATAAAAAAAGTTTTAAAATTAAACTTCCACAAAATAAAAACAATAAAACTTAAAAACAAGCTGCAAACAAATTTAAACTTTAAATAGAGCACTCCAACAGTTGATTTGAAAACTTAAATAAGAAATTAGATGCGAAATTGGAACAAAATGATTATTAAACCTCCTCATCTGAGAACCCAGTTCATGTTTATTCATCAGTAGTCGTTGACATCTTACGTGAAGTTGTCAAGGGATTAATCATTAATGTTAAACTCAAACTTTTATTTTAATTTATTTTTCCATATGTTGGATTTTAATATAATTGTAGTTTAATAATTAAATTAATATTATTTAACAGAAATAAAAATATTAATTTTTTTACATATATAATATATATGTTTATGATCGTGGATATAATATAATGCAATCATAAACAGCTTCATATACTTAGAATAAAAGAGATTGAGTTTGTTAATACAATGTTTTTGAAAACTTTTCTTCGCAAATTCTTCCTTCCAAAGGGTGGGGTTTTGTATAATTTCGTATAGTATTGTATTATATTGTATTGTATTACATTATATTGTATAGGGCGTATTATAAGTATGGGGCCCGGAAATGAATTTTTCATCATATCAAATGGCGTTGGAGGCATGATATTTAAACTAAAAAATAGTGGAAACCTTGGTATTATCTATATTTTATTTTATATCATCTGGTTCCTAAACGCCCCTATCTACGATCGTCTTCTCTTTCTCACTTTTTCTTAATTCTTGTTAAACTCTTTCACGATAAATCTTTCTTCTTGTTCTGGTCTTTTTCTGGAACTCTCTACTTCCTTCTCTGACTACTTACAAAGCTTAGTCAGAGCTGATCTCAAGATCCATCTGTTTTTAATATTTATTGAGGATCGCAGTTATTGTTGAATGTCGCAGAAATGGCACATCAAATACATATAGAAAAGATTGATTGAATGATTGACACTCATTCCATCAAACAAACGGCTGAGCCCGGAAGACACAAAATAAAATGAAAAATTATCGAGGTCACCAAAGAAGTATTTTCCCCATTGTAAACGTTACTGGAGGCAGAGCAGCATAGGAGTCACGTAAGTATTTTATTTAGTTAGTACAGGCCGAGAAAATATTGACGATCTCGGTTTTATCTATATTTTGTTCAACATCTTTAGAGACCAGAAATTTTTATATAAAACAAAAAAAACTTCTGTTTAAATGGCCATACTATATAAAAAACATTTAAAATTTTTGGAAAAAAATATTAAATTTAATTATATCAAAAACGTTGTAAAAAAAGTATTGATGTTAAGGCAAATATCAAGAAAGCGTATTTTATGACAATCGATCAATCAATCTTTGTTTAGCGTCCAGAGGCCCAGTTCCCCTAGGTAGGAGGTTGTTTTCTTTGCCATCAATTTTTTTGTTTATTTTATGACAAATATATGTTATATAGAGATTATAAATTCTTAAATAAATTGAAATATTTTTAGTTGAAAAATTGACTTTTGAAAGTTTTGAATATTTAGGCCCATATACTTGAAGCACATAAAAAATAAATATAAATGCAGTGAAGGAATTTCACATAAAGTAAATATTGCTCTCCTGGAATTTTTCATTAGTGAGCAACACTTCTAAGTAATGTCTCAGACACTCAGTCACTCATGTTCACTTCATGATTCATGGTTTTAGAATCTACAAAAATTTTACGCTTAAAAATTTTGTTTCGCATTGTTCCTGAACGCTCATTTATTTTTCAAATAATTACATAATGAATAATGTGATGAACCAAGCTTTCCAAAATTTTAAACCATATATAACGATACGTGTTTGTTCATATATCAACAACTTTTAAACAATATTTTAGTAATTCTTTAGTAAATCGACTAATACATGTTTTAATTGCACTAATATTTCTGAAATTGTGTTATAAAAATGTACTGAAACCTCTCTAATAATTCTCTTTGATTGAACGGACAACTCGGCTGTCGATTCCTATAGTTTTTACTTGAAAATATTCGTTGGAGAAACTTGGCATTGAGGCTAGCTTACGAGGCGAGGCCGTGGTCAACCTCCTCTTGAAACAATTTGAACATCTCCTCATGCAAGTGCGTTAAATATGCAAAGTTGTGATGCATGCCTCTCCAAACTCATGTCAGTAGATTGTTAAATTTTTGGAACTTACTACTAATAACATATAGAGTGGGAACTGCACAATAAAGTTAATGCTTAGTAGATCCCAACTGCCTGATTATTGAGACAGTAGCACAAATTCCTTCTATATCAATTCTGGCAGTCCTTGTAAGGATGGAGCTGCAACATCAACAATATGATATTAAATGTTACTAAAACGATTTTGTTTGTCTCTAAAAATTGTTTAACAAAAAATAACTTGATGAATTTTTTGTTTTAAACAAGTTGACACAATTTAAAAATTTTCATGAAAAGAAAGTCTGTATCGCATGGTATCACCAATTGAAATTTCACAAATTGTCCGCTGTTTGCAACTGGAATATAAAAGTCGTAAATCTGATTTTATTAAAAATCTATTACAAAAACATCTATTTTAAAATCTTGAAAATTTTTTACCGAACCGGATTTTGACAAAAACATAATTTCTCTAGCGAGATAGCTCAGACGGCTGAAGTCCTGCGATGTTGTCATTGTATGATGACCTAGTTCGATGCGATGCTTGCGCCTGCCTACAAATTATGTATGTGTATGTATGCACCTCGTGTGATCTGCAGCGTGGAAGCTACTGCTTTTACGCCCGAAATGTTTAATTGTAAGCATGGAATGATATGTACGCAATTTATGTGTTTGTTAAAGAAGATAAAAAAGAATTTCATTCTAAATTCTAAATAATGATTTAATAAAAAAATGAATGTTTCAATAAAAATGCAATTTTAATTAACTATATTTAATATTCAAAAACAGCGGCTTAGTGATTTCATTGGAATCTTTAAGAAAAATTTATCAACTTACGCGAAAGCGGGTTTTTTGAAAGTCGGGCCGTTCATACAAAAATCAACTTTTAAAACACTTGTATGCTAAAATAATAGCCAAAGGTATAATGAAACAACGATAATTGCTATTTTCATTTTGAGGAGTATATTAAAACGGATTTATGTAATGTAACTTTTTTGAATGTTTTCCATGTTGCATTTATTTGTTACAGCGTCAATTAAATAGACCAACGTAAGGTATTTTCGATATTTTTTTCCCAATTTTTCTCTTGATTTTCTTTACGCTTTAAAAATCATAAATTCACATTTTTAAAAGAACTTAAAATTATCAAAAAGCAGGCTCATTAAATTTGTATTACCTGGCCATGACGACTGATCCAATAAACAACGGAGAAAACATTTTAAATCCTCCGAACATCATCCGCCTGGATCAGCCGGGCGAGTGCATCGCGGATTATGAGCAAGATGCCAGGAGAAATCTTTGTTGTTGCATCACAGCATTACATATTCAACTCGCCTGCATATGGAGATGTTCAAATCGTTTCAGGAGGTGGTTGACCACGGCCTCGCCTCAAAAGCAAGTATCAGAGGCAAGTTTCCCCAATGAATACGTTTAATTAAAATTTAAGTTGATCGAAACGTGGGTTGTACGCATACGTAGGTATACGCTCTTCTTGCGTGTATTTTTTAATGATAGTTTAATAACAAACACAACAAAGTATTTGAATCTCAATTTAAAAATTTATGAACTTTTAAAAAACTTTTTCGAATTTAAGGACGTAAATTCAACCAGTTGTCTTTTTATAAAGAATGCTGAGATCTGTGGATTGCATGAATGCTGACTTACATCGGGTTCGTTGTCTTAATGTTTTTAATTAATTATTCAGGCGTCAGTACTGCAGGTTGATGCCCGTCCTTTATATTTTTGCCATTTCGTTGATGAATAATTTAAGAATTATTTATATTTAGTTGTAACATAATTAATTTCATTATTAAAATTTTCATTTATATAGCAGATCGCAAATTTTTCACAATTTAAATTTTTAACGTTATAAATAGTATTTTAATTGACAATTTTTCAGTTTATAAGTTTACCCTAACTACTCTACAACTCTAATTACTACTACTCTAATTACTCTAAAAAGTTGTAAAACTTTGAAACATTAAACTTGCTGATAAACATATTAATGGCTGGCGTTGGCAAGGAGGGGCCATGAAGCTGAAACTCATACAATGGAAATTTAGGTTTCAAGTCTGAATTCAATGAAAATTTTGACTAAAAGTCATTTCAGCCACCTAAACAATGAAATTGAGTACAATTTAGTACAAGCCCCTAGTTTTAACAGCTAAATATGTTACAATTCGTGCCATAAGAAGAAGGTTGCCAACTCGTTTCACAAATTTGAACCGCACACAGCAAAATTTTGACTACGCCACTGACGACCGGTGATTGCACGTTCTAAAAAAATTTTTAGTGGCTTCGTACTTATTTAAAAACGCACGCACTTATGGTTCATTCGTTGAAATGTTTCGCAGGAAGTCACGTGATTCGGATCACATTCATTAAAATGTTTTTAAAAAATCAGGTGATTCTTGTACACCTGCGCAACAGGTTTTGTGAGGTCGAATAATGGAAATGTGAAAAAGGTGTCTTCCCAGGTCACAACGAAAACCTCATATCTAATATCAAGCCTTTTTAAACATTTTGAATATAGCATGGATGACATTCACATCGATTTTAACTTATTTTTTTGGAAATAAGAAATGTGGGGACCGTTAATTATTTATGCATCAGTTGTATTTCGAAATGTTGTCCAATCCCTACAGCTACTGATTGAGTTCAACATTTCTATGAAAGGGCACAAGTATGGTCGGAGTCGTTTGATTTTTCAAATATTTTATTCAATTAATCAATAATTTAATTGATCAAATAGCATTATTTCGCGTTATAACATTTGACAAAATGTTATAATTGTGTTATAATATAATTATACTATATAATTATATAATATAATACAAATTTTATCGATACAATTGTTTGTGTGTTTGTTTATTTGTACAGTTTCAACTGATCATTGCACTTTTTAATCTTAGTCTTCATTAAACTAAATCAAAAATTATTTAGACTCTGTGGTTTTTCAAATAATAGTTGATTTTTTGTACACATTTTTATGGCCAAATGAACTTAGATTTTAAATTGAACCTCGTTGATGTTTCCAGATGGTTGAACTCAGAATCGTTAATAATGCATTGTTGGTTTATTTATTACACATGTTTTTCACAATTTTTTTCATTACGTTTATTTACGTGGAAACTTTGTACTGTCTAAGCAATGTTTGCATTCAATGATAATTCTCCCAGATGTTTACATTGTTCATCGTTATGAAATTTTTTCGATAGAAACGATTTGCAAATGCCCAATGCTTTCCTTAAAATTTTTGCTCCCTTCTCCATCTTGTGCAAACATTTTCTAGTCGTGTCTGGGGTGCTCGTTGGGTGAATTGAAGAATTTCAAGCTGCTCATTGTGTGCCAATTTTTATGTTTGGAAGTTGGTTTAAATACAAAATTTCTACTTTTTTATTTAAAAAGTCGGTCCAATTAACATATTTTTAAACAAAAATAATAAATTTTACGATATGTTCAATATTAAATAATTTATGTTAAAATATTAAACAGAGCCAGCATTGTTATGTAATTGTCGTCTGATTGCTTATCGCATTGATATTACTAATAATATGATATATGTTACTATGTTGTATGCATGTATGTCTGAATGTAACCAGCTGTTCCATCGATCGAGACATCTATGGTTGTATGGTACATGTTGTCTATGATTTCAATCGAATGTCCTTAACATTGACCACCTAGTGTCACCTTTGCAACTGGTTAAATTATTTTTAGTATTCCTTAAATTACACAATTGTCCCTGAATAGCTGAACGTCAATTTTTTGTTTTATTTTGTAATTCTAATTAAAGTAATTGAAAAACTTTATCTAAAAATTTGCATGCAATTTTGACACATGGTCATTGAACATGGGAATGGCCAAACAAGAGTTCACCAAACAAACTCATTAAGAATTCTATCAAGAAAATTCTAAAACACTATAAAGACTCTTCAAAGTAGCTGAAGTCTCGGTGCATTACATTAACTTTTTTGTATGTATGCGTGAAAATTGAAGAAGAATAATAATGCGGAGGAACTCCGCATTATTATTCTTCAATTTTCAATTATATAAAACGAAAAAAAAATCAATTTTCAATTATATAAAACGAAAAACAGACACATGTATCTTCTAGTCCAAACTATGATTTCTTCGGTATTTCATTGAAATGATGTAGGTCTATTGTAAAACATTTTATTGAAAATTTGTAGCACGAACTGCGGCTTGGTATTACGCCAACATGACCTCGCATCCTTGCAACAGCTTCAAGTGTACACAGCTAATTTGATATTGATGAATTTAAAAAAAAACCTTAATACTAAATAATTTGGCTGAAGCTTGAAACATTTACTTGACAAAATATTATGAAAAAATTTGATTTACATCAAAAATATTAAATATTCAAAATTCGAACAAAATGTTTTTATTTAATAAATGATAGCCAAGCCATCCAGACAATCTGCTTCCAGATACTCCTTACCGTGTAGTTCTATGTCTGCAGGTTCAAGTCATTTCATGAAACTAAAAATTATAAACGAACCTTTTTCACTCTCATATGTATACATATACACGTATACATGCCCATGCAGACATGTATACATACATAGCCATATGTGTATGTAGATATAAACGTATACAACTATACGTGCCTATGTATGCCTGTATACATAGTCATGTATATATGCCTGTGTAATGTGTATACATAAGCGTATGTGTCTATACACATATAAAGGTCTATATATTCGTGTATACATAGCGTGTACAGGTGCCTATATATGTGTACATAGACAAGTATACATAGGCATGTATATGTATACACAGATACATGCCTATGTATTGTTGGAGACCATCACTTGAACATGCCTACGACAGACAGACTGGCCACCACAAATTTGAAGACGATGACGTCAGTATCAAAAAAGCAACATCATACTTTTCAACATCGTCATCATCGTCATTAATGATATTATAAATCGATGTTATTGTCAGCATTATCAGTGTTATTATTATTATTTTTATTGAACTTAAATTCAGCCTACAATAACTGTTCGCTAATTATTAACTCATTTGAAATATCACCTGTGGGTTTTTATAACAATTTTAATCTAACTTTGTTTAAAATTTTATGGCCGAAATCTTTTAATGAAAAATTGATTAACGCGGTAATTCGCTCGTCATATAGCATATATTGTGACAGAAACACTACTTAACCGATTTTAAAAATATCTTTTTTACTCTCAAGCACTTGTTGATCGAAGAGCATGAGAAGATCGTACATTATATTTTATTTATTTACACTCTAATATATAATTAATAATTTTCTATGGATTCCATTTAGATTTTGTTTTTCGGTAAATAAAAGAATGTCCCCATTTATCGTCCATCATTATCATCGTCATCATTATCATAGTTATCATCATAACTAACGTAATGTTCTTTGTTTTGCTTTTTACAAATCTTTCTTTAGTAAATCTCAGAAATGTCACAGACGCATCACACCCACACACGCACAAACACGCACGCACAGACACACACACACACACTGCATGTGTGAGTGAGTTACCTTATTTGCAATCAATGAGGAACCGTCGAAAAACGGCACAACCTTCGTCTCTGATCCCCCATTCCACTTGCAACCTAGAGGGGCAATCAGATGACAACAACTTGAAGCCACATCAGCATGCAACGCGTTCAGTCCATCCTTCCATGATATTCAAAACTCTCACATCAGCTTTGAACGGAAATGTACACATTTAACGACGACGACGACGATGATGATGAAAATGGGTGATATTATTCTTAAGGTCATCATTATTCTCGTTATCACTACGATCATTGTTATAATTATTATTTGTTTATTTACTTATTTATTAATCCATTTATTTATTTTATTTCGTCAAACGACAGAGACCACCAAGATGGAGTTACCATGCAGCAGACTACCGGTGATCCAGGTTTAACTAAGATGACTTAAAGTGGGACCTTTAATGCAATCTACATGTCTATAAACAGTGATGACATCACAAGAAAAACATTTAAGCAATTAAAAAATTTTCAGACAATTATCATCTTACCCAAGATAAATTTTATTTAATTAATTTTTGAATCTCCTCAGTGATGTGCATCATCATTTCACTATTTTTCTACCTACTAATGTTTCGGGGCCTCAGTGATGTTTATTGGTTTTATTTCTAACACTTTTCATCAGCGGTTTTAAATTTTTCATGAAAGAGCCAAACTAAAATAGATTTTAAAAAGTTTTGCGGTGAGAAAGATTTAAACTTAAGTTTCCAAAAACGTTTACTCCAATGAAACACGACGCCAATTAATTACTTATCCACCAGCAGACATTTCTCCATCCCAGCACAAATAAAACGTGCATAACTTTTCGAGCATAAAGAATGCAGGTCCGCTGATTTACGATATTCATCATCATTTCCCTCCAACATACATTTCCCCCCACCTGTCATCATTCTCTTCCTCCTCCTCTTGCTCGCTGTTTGCCTGTAAACATTCTTTTATCGGATGGTGGTGCTGTGGCGTGATGGTTAATGTGCCTGGCTCTGCTGTCGCTGGGACCGAGTTCGATTACAAGAAGGTTCACGTGTGTTTGTTGTTGATATCTTTTAAAAAATAATAAAGAAGAAGTTTTAAAAAATTCTAGATCAGAGTAGCAACTTCGAATTCATCAAGTTCACCTCTACAGTTGGCTCACCTCTTTCAAGTCCTCCAACAGAAGCAAGCGAGTTTCAACTTGGTCCATTGATTCAAGGACTAAAAGTTAATTATTAAAAAAAGACTAACTCTTTTACTTCAACACTTAATCAGTTTTTAGGCGTCCATTTTTTCAGGCTCTCTCCGAAGTAATCATCACGCCATCCTCCTCCTCCTCTTCACCATCACCGTCATCGTTATTATCACCATCATCGCCACCATCACCTTGGCTACCATCATCGTCATCATCATCGTCTACCCATCATCATCATCATACAATCAGTATCATCATCATTATCATCATCACCATCATCGTCCACACATCATCATCATTATCAAATCATTATCATTATTTTTCATAATTTTCAAAATTATCAATCCTTGATTAAACTGTTTCCTTAAAAATGTTCACGATTCATCCATTCACCCAGACCACCACAACCACCTAACCCTAACCCTAACCCTAACCCTAACCACCACACAACCTCGCATCTCAGTGTCCTAAAATATTCCACATTCCAACAAAAAACAAAAACGCAACAGTTTGTTACTATCGTTGCACACTCGGTGAAACACATCACGTCATCCTTTCTTACTAACAGCGGGGCCCTGTTACATGCATTGCATACCATGTGATGTGTTTAAGTTCTGTGATGTGATACGAACTGATGTATGTCATGTAGTGTGCATTGGTGTTATGTTGGTTATATGTTAGGACGTGATGGTGTTGGGGATATGATGTGATGTCTCCTTACTCACATTCAACCGTGCCAAGCCACATCAACATCCTAGCGTATTACATCAGGTCTAGCAAGACCACATTTGATCTTATCACATCTTTTCATCACCCCAAGCCATATGACATCAAAACACATCAGCACCACACGTCATGACATTAAGTAATCACATCATCACGTCACGCATTGCATCATATATCATTACATTATATCAAATCACATCAATTGGTCAGATCACATCAATGTGTAAAATCACATCAATATATCAGATCATCATATCCCATCATCAATTTACATCGTCACAATACACCACATCTTGAGACCATCTTCTCACATGTGTAAGTAAGGTGACATCACATCACATTACAAAACATCGTCACATCATAACAGCATTATTCGAGGAACAATTGATTTTCATTAGCGAGTGCGCGGCACACACAATATCTTCATCTTTCCTGTAATTATACGTGAGATGTCTTGCTTCAACATTCTTATGTCGTGTTGTTGCGGTTGTGGTTGTGTTGTTATTGTTGTGTGGTTGTTGTTGTGTGGTTGTTGTTGTGTAATTTTCTAATTAACTTGTTGTGTTCATATTTTTTAGTCAACTTAATTATTTATCATCAATGATTCAAATCCAAAAAATTAAGCAACGTTAGAATTTGCAAACAAACAAGCAAACAAACAAACAAGCAAACAAGGTTCATGAGCCATTTTAATTTGTTCTTTGTGCAATCATTTCATAAAAAAAAATTCAAAATAACAAATTGAAATGCCATTTTTGTTGACGACGACGTTCCAGCAAAGTTTGAAAAATGTTGAAATGAAATCGTGTCAGAGTCTCAACAGCAACCAACCACAGCATCCACGCAACTGCTAACAAATCCT